ACGACCCTCGCTATTCATCCCAGAGGTAATGACGTACTTGTCAATGGAGTTAATCCGATCCGGGGCTCCGTTTCTCAGCAAATATCGCGGTAGTTGATGAAGCCGTAGGCCTGGTGCCAGTGGTAGACTTGCTAGAACGTCATTTGGAAGCTGGGGATATGAACCACAGAAGACAGCGCCGGGAATGAAGAGTGTCGGAAACACGGCCACCATCACTTGCCAGTTGAACTTCGCCCAAGGCATGTTGATCCCGGGGAGTTCGAGATGCGACTCGCAGGAATGTGCAAACAATCGCTTGCTGGAATTCGCCAGCAACTGGAATTCGGCGCAGTGTTCGATGTGGCTTGGGTTCCGAAGCTGTGTGGAGTTCATTTCATGCAGCCGAAGCTTGTGACTTTGGCCAAGGCCAAGGAGCTCATCGAAATGGGCGGACGGAGTGAGCAGTAACTTAGTAAGTAGCAATTGGGTTTATGCCACAATCTCAAAGTGACAGCAGCGATCATCCCAAACGCGGCACATTTGTTTACCCCTATCTTCGCTTTCGGCGCCACCCGTGAAATCTAATCTGCTGGGTCGTGCACTCTGAATGGCACCTAACTCTTAACGCCGATGTGTCTCCTCACTCCGCCCCATGTGGCGCAGTCGGCAGTCACTAGCCAAATCGACCTCAGCTTCAGCCACGCCTGTCCCACATGCCACCTTACGTGCACACGACACCGCACGCAATCAACGAAGCCCGAGGCAGGAACAAGTGGCATTCGAAAGTCAACAAGCAGCCGAAAACGATGCATTGAGCCACCTTCAATGCCCTCACGACCTCACGAAGCTCATGAAATGAAGTTTACACCTTGACCTTCACCAAGTTTTAAAGATGGATGATCTCTCGGGATTGAATTGGTCGTCGTCGACCAACACGACGAACAACAAGCCGCCGCCGATGAACCCCTCGGGCGCCAACTACTTCGGCTCCATGCGACCGGCCAACTCAACGCCATCCCCCTTTCCCTCTGGCCGTAACACGCCTCTGTCCGCCCAAGGATCAGGAGCCGTGGCTGCGAAACCTCCACCCGCGAAGCCGCCAGCCGATAGTTTCAGCAACTTGATGAGCTTTGGTGGTGCTGGGGCTGCGAAACCGACATCGAAACTCACCTTGCTGGAACAGCAGCAGCGACTCGAGGCTGAGAAGAGGAAGAAGGAGGAGGAGAGGAAGAAACAAGCGCAGGCGCAATTTGGCGGTGGTTTCTTGGATACGCTGGGATCGGGCTCAGTGTCGAGGACGACGTCCCCTGGCATACTGTCCCCTGGCTCTTCTACGGGCAATAAGGCCAGTGATGATGACGACCTCTTCGCGGCGTTCAACTCTGAGACCAAGGTCGACAATGCTAGCCACTACCCTCCGCCTCCTCAGAAGAGCCTCTCGCCTGCGATCGCCCCTGGCTTGGACCTCAGCAACCCAACCGCATGGAATCAGGCGCCTGCCCCTGCCAATGGCGGCTTTGGGGACGACGACGATCCGTTTGGTCTGAACCAGCTGAAGCCCAAGGCCGCATCTCCAGCACCCCCATCGACGAACGATGATGATGACGACTTCCTCGGAGACCTAGCCCGTCCGGTCGAAGAAGTTCGGCGCAAGCAACCCACCCCACAGCCCAAGGGGCCTGAGCCCGGAAAACCCATTGAGGCATCTGACTCCAGCTCAGATGATGAACGGCAGCCAGCTCCCAGGGGCGAGATGGCCGAATTTGACAAGGCTGTCGCGCAGCTCGTCGATTACGGCTTCACCCCTGAAAACGCTCGAAGGGGTCTGACAGAGAGTGGTGCGGGGTTGAATGTGCAAGCAGCGGCCAACTGGCTTTTGGACGATGCTCACCGACAAGCCAAGGCGAAGGCTCAAGGAAAGGATCCAGCCGCTGCTTCAAGGAGAGGACGAGATGATGGTGGCAGACAGGATAGCCAAAGACGGGCTGATACCAGATCCCCTGCCGGTGAAGCTGACTTCTCAAAGACTGCGGCGGCTATGGGAAATAGCCTTTTCAAAACAGCCAACTCTCTCTGGAAGACTAGCAAGAAGCAGGTCGCGGCTGCAGTAGCAGACTTTAACCAATCCGAGGGCGACCCTAGCCAGCCGAAATGGATGCGCTCATCACAAGCTGATCGTGCTCAGCCTGAGCGGCGGGTGGCCGAGGCTACAGACGAGGCTATGATGCTGGAGTCTGGCGGTCGACCGCAAAGAAAAGCCGGGCAATCGTCGCAGTCTTCGAGACCAGAGGCCCCTCGCCGGACAGCATCCCCAAGAGACCAGTCTCCTGCGGTATCGGCCCCGTCAAGCGGCAGAGGCACTCCGGTACCCAGATGGCAGCAGCAGAGCGGCCCAGCAATACCGGATTCAAGAAGTCGCGCAAGCAAGCTGGCAATGGCGGACGACAGCGCGGCTTCGTATGTCAGCCCTGCTAGGAGGAAGAAGGCGACACCTCAGCCGGAAGCGCCTGCGTCCCAGCAGGAGGACCCGGACCTGCTTTTCGGTTCACAAGCTCCGAAGCCCTCGCAGTCACTCCCTCATCGCCCGGCTCAATCATCGCAGCCATCACGACCCGTCCAGCCCTCTCAAGCCTCGCGGCCTGCAAGACCTCCATCTCCCAAGCCAGCCCCTCGTCCCGCTCGTCAAATCCCACCCATTACACCTGCGGCGGTACAACAGTCAACAAAACACCGTCTCGATGGAACTGCTCACTTCAAGAGAGGAGATTACGGCGCAGCTCATTCATCTTATACGTCATCACTATCTGCTGTGCCATCTTCGCATCCTCTTGCGATTGTTATCCTCACAAACCGCGCGTTGACATCGTTGAAGAACGGCGAACCCAAGCGTGCTGTTGAAGACGCTGATGCTGCACTCAAGATCATTGGTCCTGGTGGAGGTCAAGGCGAGCAGGTGTCTGTTGTGGGCGACACCGGCACCCAGGAGAATCGCGACATGCGGGATCTGTACGGCAAGGCATTAAGCCGCAAGGCCGAGGCCCTCGAACAGATGGAGCGATGGGGTGATGCCCACGCCGTCTGGTCAACCTGCGTGAAGAACGGCGTCGGCGGTCCTACCGCTATCTCTGGCCGACAAAGATGCCAGTCAGCCCTGGCTCCCAAGCCCAAGCCTAAGCCTCGACCAGCCGCTACTGCTCCTGCTCGGTCACGCCCTGTAGCAGCTTCTGCTAAGAACATGGAAGCCGTGGAGCGCTTGCGCAAGCAGAATCAAGCAGCGGCGCAAGAAGACGATGAGAAATTTGCGCTGTCGGAGAAGGTTGACGCCAAGATTGCGGCATGGAGAGATGGAAAGAGAGATAACCTGCGTGCTCTCATCGGTAGCTTGGACTCGGTTCTCTGGGAAAACAGCGGATGGAAGAAGGTTGGGCTGCACGAGCTTGTCATGGCCAACAAGGTGAAAATTCACTACATGAAGGCCATTGCTAAGTGTCATCCCGATAAGGTACGTTATTTTTGATTTACTTGGTGACTATGGGCCTGCGCTAACAATGTGTAGCTTCCGCAAGACGCTAGCACGGAGGTGAGACTTATCGCTGCTACGGTCTTTGCGACGTTGAATGAGAGTTGGGATAAGTTCAAGTCCGAGAACGGATTGTAAATACTTTAGGGGCTGCATGGAAGAGAGGGCTTAGACGTGTGAAAGAGCGGATTTAGTACTGCAAGCACGGCAGGAAAGCTGGGGGCATTTATCCCGAATGCAAGCGGGCAAGCAAGCATTGACGAAGGAAGTGAATATTCGAAGCCATGTTTGATTGATTCCCCAAACGCCGTGCTATGCTTGTAGTGTCGACCGCACCCTCTTATGTCTGCCTACGTTGATCCTTCAAATCTCTCTCTCTACTAAAGTAGTCCGCCGAGTGGTATTCTATGGATAAGGTATTTATGTGTTCTCGCCAGAAGGAAGACCTGCCACATCACAGACCCAGCGACCGCCGGACGCCGTCGCGAACCTTTTGCTCGTATTCCGTCCTCCGCTCGCGCCACATCTTTGCAGCCTCGACGTTGGCAGGGCTCTCGTCGTTTGGCTCGGCGAGCATGCTCATGACGGAGATGAGGATCTTTTCGACCGACTGGATCGGGGACCAGCGCTCCGAGGCGTGTTCGTAGTGGTTTGGGTCGTCGCCTGGGGGGTGGAGGATGGAGATGCAGACTAGGCCGCTTGGGTAGACTGGGTTTGTGGTTAGCAATGCCTTTCACTTTTCTATTAGGTCCATATCAGGGGTGCGCAATAGGAGACTGTACTATTCGGATGCCACATGTCGACGAGGAACTTCATGGTCGGTGGGGCGAGAGGGTAGTCCTTGGGGAACTTGAGCTCGGCGGGGAAGACGCCGCCTTCGAAGGGTGTTCCCTCGGGGCCTTGGATCAGGGCCTCCCAGTGAAGAAGGTCATCTTCGGATACGGGGCCGGCGGTGATGCCTTCTGGGGGGTTGTTTGTCAGGGCGCGGTACTCTTGGAGGAGCCGGCGGTGGGCGGTGGATTGGGCCATGGCTAGCGCGGTGTTGCGTGTCTCGGGTTGACTCGGATCGAGAGGTTTAGAGTCGCAGAGAGCTGAAGAAGGATGGGGAGAGATGCGAGGTTTGTAGGCAATGATCGAGGGAAGGCCAGGGATCAAGATGGTTGTCGGGTTGATATCTCCGGTGACTTACACAGCACGGAAGTGAACAGTTGGGACCTCCGGGTCGGTTAGTGGTGGTCATAGTGGTGGCAGATTGGCGGGGGTGGGGGGGAAACTTCCCTGCTCCAGTGGTTCTCCGAAGTTTAGCCCGACGGCTGTACATGGATCGGAGCTTGGGTCGGGTTCACCGAGCATTTTTTGGGAGCTCTGTCCACCCGTCTGCCCAGCCGACATCATTCAACCACGAATCCAATTCTCGACGGTTCACTCCTTTCGTTCCGTCGTACCCAGGAAAGCAAGAGACGGGACACACACTCCCCTCCTCTCTTGCTGCCCCTCTACGATGCCTCCACGAATCCCATTGAGGCCAATCGCAGGCCGCGCCGCCTCTTCCCTGACGGCCGCAAAGCAGAATACCGCGATCCCTTCGCGCGCAGTATGCCTGTTCTGCTCGCTTTCCGCACCCTCGCGGCCTACGACGAGAACCAATGCCACCACCAACAGCCGCAATCAAGCAAGAAAGGCGTTGAGACAACGCCGCTTCCAGTTCACCGAGTCGACAGCATCACTACCGCCACAAGAGACCATCGCACCCGAGAACCCGAGGCAAGAACTCATCGACACCCTCCTAGAGCTTCAAAAACATGCCGTCAACCATGTGAACCTCTCCCGCCTACAGCTCGCGCTCCAGGGCCTGCGCCAGGATCCAGGCCAGGAGTCGATCCGCATCGCAATTCTCTCCCTCGCCAACGGCAGCGCGGAGCAGGGCAAGGCGGCAAAGGACCTTCTCCGATTACTTCTCGCGGATCCCCTGGGCGACGAGGCGGAGTGGGAAAGGGAATTAGCGCAGCATGACCCGTCGCACCCGCTCGTGGTGCGCATCGGGCAGGAGCATAACGCCGCGGAGGCCGCGCCGCGCGTGACGATATCAAAGACGAATCTGCTGCACGAGCTCGATGTGTCGTCGCCTGCGTTGAATGGACACGGGGTTGAGCTTTTGCTTATGGAGGTGAACCCCTTTAGTTCTGTCCCGGGACCGGGCGAGAAGGCGGTGCAGGATGTTGAGGAGGCTGTTCTTGTGCCGACGGTGGATATCCCGTCCAACACGGGGCGGTACACGCCTATTACGACGCCAGTGCACAAGGCTTTGGTTGTTTCTGGGGGCGTTATGGGCGCTGCTTTGGTTGCGGCCCTGCCGTTGGCCGAGTATCGTGATACCGTCTTTGGTGCTGTCAACTTGCCAGAGTATTCTGTGGAGAAGGAGGCGGGCGTCACGTTCCAGCCGATTGATGTGTCGGTGGGCAGCAAGGGACTTGATCTTATTCGCCAGAATATTGCCAATGCTATGGAGTATGAGAGGGCATGGTACAAGAGTAATGTGCCTGTCCTTATTCAATGGCTCAAGACAGGCGTGCAGATGGACGAGGGCCAGGCTACCAAGCCAGCAGTTCGTCTCCTGGTCGCCTCACTACTCCGCAACGCCCTCGCAGAGATTGAAGCCGAGGAATCGCGCTTGCTTTCAGGACGCCTGTCCACGGAGGCCGCGTCATCCGGGCTAACCGTCATGAACGAGAGACTGGCGCAGTGGTCCCAGTTCGCGCACGAGGAGCTCCAGCAGCAGCTCGACCTCGCGTTCGCGGGCACGAGATGGCGCAAGCTGGGCTGGTGGAAGCTCTTCTGGCGAGTCGACGACGTGGGCGTCCTCACGACCGACATGCTCAGCCAGCGCTTCCTCCCCGGCGCAGAGAGGGAGCTGGTGTACCTGGCCGGCCGCATCGCCGAGTCCGGCGTCGCTTCGACCACCACTGAACCACCGGTGTACGCGCAGCCGACATCCGAACTTCAGAAATCCCTGCCCGAGAGCAGCACCGTCGCCAAGGCCGTGACGCAGAAGCCCAAATGGCCGACACACATCGCCTTCACGCGCCGCTACCTCCACGAGGAAACCGTTCCCGCACTACAGGCCCTCGCGCAGAAGCTCGTCCTCCAGGCCTCGAGCACCTCGGCCTTGACGACGGCGCTTGCGGGTCTGCTTTACGTATCGCAGTACGCTTCCTCCATCTATGAGGCCGGCGCCGTCGCGGCGCTGGGCGTGATGTGGAGCCTGCGCAGGTTGCAGACCAAGTGGGAGACGGCGCGGACGTACTGGGAGGGCGAGGTGCGGGAGGAAGGGCGCAAGGCGGTACGGGGTGTCGAGCAGAGCGTTGCGGATACGCTTGATGGGTCAAGGGAAGGGGCTGCTGTTGAGGGCGCGGAGGAGCTTCGCAGGGCCAAGGAGCTTGTTGAGAAGGCCGAGGATGCGCTTAAGCGGTTGAAGTAGAAGTGATATGAGCAAGAGGGAGGGGTTTGCATGTCACGAGGTTTGTATCATCATCTGTATAATGTATAAACACAATGTCCATGATAGACATGCACATGCACGCACGAAGTTCCGATACCAGACAAAAAGACACGAGAAATTGGGCGCCGAGAGGGGCGTTTGCATTCTATTGCTGCGGTATCTTTGGCTGTGGCACCTAGCTTTCTGTGTCAGCTGAGGGTTGGATGACGGCTGGCTCTTCAAGATTAGAGAAAGAGTGAGGCCTACCCTAGCGACCGTCATTTCCCACATGCTGGCCGACCAGTGACATCCTCAGACTGCCCGGGTATTGTTCTCCTCGGGGAGAAATCAGGCCTCAAGTATCGTGCCTCGCACTGTTCCCATGTGTTTCCCTGGCCCTCCCTCGGCTGGTATCCGCATTTGCTATACTCGGGGACTTTCCCCCGTGAAACCTTCAAAACCCCTTTAAAACGCCTGGAACTTTTTTGTACCCGAAGGACGATGCTGAACAGCCTCCGGGTTCCCCTGGAGTGAGAATCCAAAGTCCCCTCACCCGACCTTTCCTCCGGCTCTTCAATAGACGGAAGAGTAGCGTCCGTCATGAAAGGAAAAATGCGCGCTGTGTCTCGTCTCGAAAGTCTTCCCCTTTGGTGTCTTCTTGCTCTCTTCCACTCTCTCTCCCACGCGCAAAAGTCCATATCGCGGGCGGTCTATATTTCTTCAAGGCCGAGTCGAAGAGGCATCCTGCGAATGCGGATTCCGATCCTAGCGTCCTCCGCGCCCGCTGGCCCTCGCCCTGCTCACGGTCGCGCGACCACGCGCCATACCGACACCGCGGCCACGGACGTTGCGGGAGCGGAACATGGGTGCGTTGCGCAGCATGTCCGGGACGATGAAGAAGCGGACGTGGGAGCCGCGGATGTAGACCTGGTCGAGGTGGGAGACGCGGCCGTCGCGGGCGGTGACGGTGATGTCTTTGAGCTGGACGTTCATGTTGTCTTCGGCTGTTGAGGAGAGGTGAGATGTTAGCGGGCTGCTATCTGTGACTGAGTTAGGGGATGGCAAGGTGGAGGGAGGGGTTACCTTCGAGAAGCTTGCCGCGGTAGGTTTGACCTGATGTGATTTCGAGGGTGACGATGTGGCCCTGCGCGCGTGAATGGTTAGCTTTCTGGCGTGGTCTTTATTAGGGGGCGAGGTTGTAGGTACCTGTGCCTCGTTGAGGAGCTTGATGGGAATGCCAATTGTGGACGTCATGATTGTGGTTGTTTGGGAGAGTCGAGGGCGAGCTGTCGTGGGGATTTAGGTCGAGATGGGTGGAGGGGAGTAGCTTGTCGCGATCGTGGGCCAGGGCGGTTTGGGTGGTGGATGATGAAAAGTGAAGGCGGGCTCTGGGGGAGACAGGTAGCTGGAAGCTGGTGTTTTTCCGAGCCGGAATTTGGCCTCACCGAGCGTGGCAGGTGAGGGTGGAAAGGTGGGGCCGTTGCCTTCACTCGCCTTGCGGAGCTCTGAGAACGTCTACAATCACAGCAAGCCTCCTTCTTTTTCGATGCCAAGTTCGTTCAAACCCATGCTACTTACAATCGTGACTTATTTAAATACAATAATGGCCTATATCTGTCGCCATGGGTTGAGGGCTATGACAAGATTAAGGCTCGATTTGCAAAGACATTGTTGCTTTCCGAGAGCTCAGAGAGGAAGCGCTTCGGTAACTCATGTTTGCCAGAGCAAGACGAGTAACTTTGAAAGCAAGCGCAAGCTCCGAGTAGTGGTTTCCTTCGTATTTTCAGATTACTCAACTCTTTGACTTTGCGCTTTCAATTCCGTAAAACGCAACACTCACCATCACGTAAGTGAAGTAGTTTAAAAAGTGGTGCGAATACATTCTAAATCTACGACAGGCCACACCGAGAGCATGTTGTACTGCTCTTGTCGTACATGAGATCAGACTAGATCAGAACTCCAGGACTTTTTATTCTCGTCCCTCTAGTTGGTATCCTGTTCTTATTTGACAACATAATAACCGCCTGCACCTTCAATCACTGGCCGGCGTTTAATGAGCCAGAGGGAACAGTATTGCGTTTGCACACGGTACAGACTAATTTGGACAGGTATGACACATTAATTCTTCTCAAAAAGGATACTACAATATCTACATCGAAGACGAAACCACGCCCCTAAGATCTCTCAAAGTCAAATGTCTCGGGCAAGCTCTTCTTACTCCACTGGTGAACCAGCGGGTCTCCAGACCGTCTCTTCTCCCTGAACAGCGCCTCCGTCAGATACTTGTACAACCAAATATTGGCACCGTTGTACGCGATACTGTGGTCGCTATCCGTGAAGCTCAGCCATTTCATCTTGGACACGGGCACCCCGGCACCGACGAGCAGATCAATGAGCGCTGCAGCGTTCTGGTAGTGCACGTTATCGTCGCCCGTGCCGTGGAGGATGGTAAACTCGCCCGCCAGATTCTTGAACCCCTCGGGATTGCGGACGGCCGTCTCGTTGTACCCCTCCTCATTGGCATCGAGCGTCTTCATGTAGCGCTCCGTGTACAGCGAGTCGTAGAAGCGCCAGTCGCTGACGGGCGCGACGATGAGGCCGGATGAGAAGACGCCCGAGTTGGCTTCGAGAACCTTGGCGGAGAGGTATCCGCCGTACGACCAGCCAAAGATGCCAATTTTTGCGGCGTCGACAAAGGCGTTTTGCGAGGAGAGTTGTTCGGCGGCCCAGATCTGGTCGAGGGGCTCCAGGCGGCCGAGGTGGCCGGCCACGGTGGAGCGGAAGGCGCGGCCTTTGTAGCCTGTGCCGCGGTTGTCTACCGTATAGGTGATGTACTCGAGTTCCGGGTTGGAGGCGATGAAGGCGCGCCAGGTGATGGACTGGTAGCGCTTTGTGACTTCTTGTGCGCCGGGGCCGCCGTAGGGGGTGAAGAGGGCGGGATACTTCTTGGATGGGTCAAAGTTGGCGGGGAGGCGCTGCATCACGTTGAGGGTGTAGCCGTCGGGGTGGGCAAGCTCGAAGTAGGTGATGTTGGGGAGCTTGTATTCTTGGAGGCGAGTGACGAGAGCCTCGTTGCTGGTGATGGTGCGGACCGGTGTGGTTGAGTTAGTGGCGTAGAGTTCCTGGTAGGGGACGTTGGGACCCTGGTAGGACAGGATGTAGTATCCGGCCGAGGACGAGAACGAGGCGCTCCAATATCCCGCGACAGTGTCGTCGACGAGGGCCGTCTTGACGCCGGAAGGGTAGGATACGGAGTAGAGATGCCTCTCGGTGCTGTGGTGCTCAGTGGACAGGTAGTAGACGAGATGACGCTCAGTGTCGACCTTGAGTACCGAGGTTACTTCCCACTCGCCACTGGTCAGAGCAATAGGGCTGCCGCCATTGACCGAGTAGAGGTAGATGTGGTTCCAACCAGACTCGTCGGACAGGTCCAAGAAGTAGGCGTCGGTGGAGTTTCTCGTAGCGTTCTGCAGGGGACCAATGTACTCAATGCCCTGGTTGTTGTCCAGCCATCCATCGGAACCATCGCGCTCTCGAATGACCTCGGAAGCATAGCCCTCGACATCGACGCGGACGAGCTTCTCCAGGTCCTGGACACGGTTGAAGGCTCGGTAGGCGAAGCTGGCATGATTGGCGGTCAACCACTTGACCTCACCAACAACTAGGTCGTCGGCGGGGAATGCATCAATCTCAACGGGAGTGGCCTCCTCAGTCTCGACATCCAGCAGCGTCAGTGCCACGGTTGGGTTCTTGCTGCCGACCTTGGGGTAACGCAGGTCCAACTCGACAGGATACGGGGGTGCAATCTTCTCGCCGCCCATGAAGTAGGGGATGGTGAAGGTCTCAACACCCGTTTCGTTGAAGCTGAGGTAGGCAATGTACTCTCCATCGGGGGAGAACCAGAAGGTGCTTCTGCTGCCAAAGATTTCTTCTTCGTAGACCCAGTCGGGAACACCGTGGAATAGATCCGGTCCGCCGTCGTTGGTGATTTGGGAAATGGTTCCGTTCTTGCTCAGGAAGAGGTTGTTACCGCGAACGAAGGCCTTAGTGGTCAGTGTTAGCTGCTTCCGGGGGTAGCTGGTCAGGAGTACTCACAATTGCATCTCCCACGGGCGCAAACTCGGCATATTGAATGTCTCCAGCTTGACCATCCACGAGCGGCTCAACAACGCCAGATTCGACGTCAAGAATGGAGTAGTCGGCAAAGTACGAGTAGCGGTACTGCTTGGTGTAGTTGGTGGCAAAGAGGACCTTTTTCAGATCCGGTCGGATCCAGTACTCGGCGTAATCGGCGGGGATCTTGTCTGCGGGCACAAACGTCTCGTTTGCGCCGGTGACGATGTCCTCGATCACGAGTGCATTGTTGGAAAGATAGATGAAGCGGCCATCTTCAACGCCCGAGAGCCAGCTGACAGATCGCGAGCTGGCGCCAAATCGGGGGGAAGCGACCGTCTCGTTCCAAGTGACGATGCGATCGCCGCCTCCGGTGGGCTGGTGCGGTTCGCGTTCAATGGCCGATGCGCCGAAAATGAGGGCCGCAGCGGCAACGACCTTGAGAAATTGGCGGGCCATGATGAGTATCCGGTGTCCCGATTTCTCTGGTATCCAAGAATGGGTATGCAGGGCACGGCGAGCAACAGAGGCGAGAAAGGTCGCGTAGTAGGAACCTGGAGAGGCAACCGCTACTTTATACCAACTTGCCGTGCGGTGCCATTGAACCAAAGCATGCGTCGATAGCCATGCAGGTGCGCGTCGCAGTGGGCCGTGTTCCACTGCAGTGCAGGCGAGAGATCACCGAGCGACGGTGCAACGGTCCATCGTTGGCGGCATTGTTGGATGTTGTGCTCGGATGCCAAGAGAGCGACATGGATCGCGGTCAAGTTGTCAAGTTATCAACGAGTCGGGCCCGCTGCTTTCTCCAGATTTCTTGCCGACTGTTGGTCTCGACCGCCATGTTGACTGGCTGCTGTGCTCATAGTGGTCTATTGAACGAAGTTTTGAACGGGGAGAGCCGGGGGGATCATTAGGGACCTGCCAAAGTTGGGTTAACGGCGTGATTGAGTCTAGATATTGACGACATGGAGAGGCGGGGGTCATTGGCGTTTGTAATAGTGGTAATGGCGAGCGTCAGTGTACTATTATGTGTGACTGTCTGCGCGCGTGTGTGTTTGTGTGGAAGAAAAGAAATTGACGCGATGAAAGCCAAGTGAAGGCCAAGACGAGCTTGCACAGGTGCATTCCTCTTCGGGAAGGTTGCACTTGGACCGGAGAACAAGCGGTGGGCACTGGCGCCGGGGTTCGCTGCGGGGCCACGGCATGCCGCCCGGCCTCTCACGGCTTTTCCCCAAACTTGCCGATTCTGCCCACTCGTTCACTCACCCACTCCTGTTTTTTCTCCGTCAGACATGAAAGTGCCGGCAATTGGTCTTGAAGGATCGTAGAGGATCGAGGAGAAATGCAAGGCACATCTTATCCCATGAATTCGGTGTGAGTGTGACAATGCTACATAAGGTACATCCGGGCTAGGTGCTTCAGATAAACTGAAGAGATCTCACTCCCGCATGCTCTTCTCAGAAAAAGAAATGCTAAGCAAAGACTATCTTGATACCTCTTGCGGTAACCTCTGCGGTGTTGTCACATCTTATATCGGTACATACATTCTCAAAAAACACCAGCTTCGGCGCCGGACACCACAATCCCGTCGGCAACTGTGGAATCCTCGGGTTCGGGTATCAATCCGGCTTCGGCGGCTTCGGTGAGCGACACTCCAGGACTGGCTTCTGACTCAACGGCATCTTCGGATTGATTGATAGAGCTCAAGACCCGAACGTGCTGTTGCTAATGATAACACTCATTCATGTACTCCTTCTATTCAAGTGAGATGTATGCAGGCAGTTCATCACATCACTCATAAGCCTCTTCCGCGAGGTTGCTTTTCTAGCATTTTCGAAACAAGCGGATTGCCACCCACCTTCCGATAACTCAACTCCTATGTTACTATCTGGTATCCATGATTTGAAGCCAGCAACTACCTTACGTGACGTCTAGGTAGACTTTTTGTGCCTAACGTGGCCGGCAGTCACAGTCGCAAATACTCAACTCTAGGCAATTAATCTGAGTTAAGTACTCGGTTTTATCGTTTGACGAGTGCCCGATGAATGTCAGCTAGAGCGTCGACAATGGAAATCTGTGGAGCAAGAACATGTATTGGTCGTTTGAATTTACTATCAACTTTGTTTGGTCGTTTCATACATGGTCTTGTTCCAGATTTCTACATCAAGAATGGAACAAGTACCAATCGACCCATTGATGGTCACATTCATTGAAGAAGCTTACTGACTTGCCTGAGAATAATCGTTATTGAGGCTTGAGCACTCGTAATTTGGTTGCATGAAAGTGGTAGAAATTGCTCCAGTACTATACGAGCAATTGGCTTGGTAGCTTACGGATTCTAAACTCTATCCGTGAATATTACAATGCTACCCAAATGTAGCGAAGCTCGAAGCCAGTCATGTAAGCTAGTCACGTATTTCGTGCGAAAAATCTCAGATCGGCCTCCAGCCCAGTTAAGAAGGGGGTGCTGCTTTTGGTTCCCGCTGTCAACCGCAAACGCGGGCCAGCCCGTCACATCCGAGCTTTCCAAGTTTCTGAGACTCTGCCCCAGAAGTTCAGATTAAGGTAAGATTGACGTGCTACCTAGCCCTAGGAATACGAGGGAGCTATCCCTCCCGTACGATTCTTGATACTTTGGCACGCTTTGCCAAGTCGAGTCGTGAGGCGCTTGCTATCCACATTACTTAGTCTCTTTTGATGCGAAGGACCGAGCATCAGGGACAGCCACACGCATTGAATACTGGAAGCTCGGCGCCGACAGATCTCTGGGACTATGACAGTGCAGTTGGTCAGCATCGGTGCATGCCTGCCAGAGCCTTCTCAGGGGTCCCCAACAAAGTGGTACTTGCCCATCCGCATCAGGTAATTGCTTTATGATGATCTTCAATCGAGTTCTCGGGCCTCTGCTATGATAACAAGACCCCTTTGATACCTCTCCAATCACGAAAGCTTCAGTGTAACGGGGTTCCAATACGTCCGTCGGATTTTCTAACTTTGGAACCAGAGGGCTGGCGGACAAATACCGGAACCAGTGAAGAGAGTCTATAGAAAGGTTGAGGCGAGATGATTGCCCCTTTCTGTGTAGTCCAGCCGCCATATCATTCCACACAGATCCCTTTGACTTGGAGGCAATATCAATTCTGATTTGCTCTGTGGTGATACTGGGACGAGCTGTGTCTTGCCAAGACGCATTGCGGCATTGACTCTTCAGGGATTATGCATCCTTCTTGACCGGGAGAACAGCCAGGTTGAAAGACACTTTGGAGCCTTTGTAAACAGGCGAATATGATTTCCAGTCCCCAAAGTACCAACACGTTAGAGGCCGAAATGGCCTGGTTGAGTATTTGAGTGAGCCGGGAATAAGCCCCGCTGGTTGTCAAATTAGTGACCAGGTCTGATTTTGGCGCCCGCTTTCGCTTTGACCCTGTGACTTCGGAACAATGTTCGAGTATCGCACTAGTGCATTCTCTCCGAGCTGTATTGTCTCTGGCGATTTCTTTTGTGCGACTCGGAACAGAAATCAGACAGAATTACCGGGGCGGCATAGGGGAAAAAGAAGAAATTCTTCGCTCACGGTCTGGGGTTCAGGGTGACTTTGAAGTTTGAAAGGTGGTTTGAAAGGGGGGCCAGAATGGGATACTACTATACTCGACCACTTACAATAGGGCAGTAGATGGCTAGCCCAACCGTCTTCATCTCGACCGCGACCTTCCGAGAAAGACATACGGCCCGATCTCGGCAGTCACTTTACCAGTGGAAGGGCGCAGTGTAACCCATGTGGTTTGGCTGGCAGCTGGCCGGATCTCTGTGAGACATCATCAACTGCCAAAGCGTAAGCGCCATCCTCCACTTCACGGAAGGCAAGGGGTGTTCTCCCCGGTCGAGCCTGGAGGGAGGGTGCTCCCGCTAGACTGTCACCTCACAAACATTAGATGGGACGATCGGCGAGGGTTCAAGTTGGTTCGGGGTCAATCTATGGAGTTATCCGGCAGGACACCCCACAGCGATTGGACATCGGCGATCGCCCCGATAACCTCCTTTTTTCTGTGGGAACGGGCTGGGAGCCGACATGGACCATTCTCATCTCACACTTTCCCTCCCCTCCAAAGTCCAACCCTGGCCTCCCCCCATGATCCATCATATCATATCACATCCCCCATCTCACCTGCGATTGTCTCAATGACATGCTCGAAATACGCCTCATCATACCACCGCCGGTAAGCTAAGACAGGCATTGGGGGGACGCCTCCTCAACGTTGTGTGTTCAGCCAGCCCGGAGACACCGTCCGAGCAAACACAAACCCGCATGTTCGTCTATGTACATACATACCTACAAACCAACTGGCAAAATGGGTTTTCACCCCGTTCGAAGCGCTCCCGCGGCACATATCAATAAATCTGAACCCATGTCCGACCCTCAACCCCCCAATGACGTTCAGCCCTCGGCCTCCATCCGGCAAGATCGCCAGTCGACTCACCTCGCTCACCTGAACTCCTCAGTTTGCAAGACCTACTTGGTACGGAGTACAGGCTCACTCACAGCGCGCGTGCCCCCTACCTGTAGCGTCCCTATTGTCTCATGCCAGTGTCTTACGTCACGCATCGATGGATGTGACTTAAACAGCATGGCACGCATGGCTAAGCCCCTCCGGGAACCATCCAAAGCGCTTCCGATCTGCCGCCTGCATGGTATTGCCTACGCCTTTACCCATTTTCGACAGCGGGTGTCTGGCCGCTCTGGCGTGCCGGGGGATCCTGGGTAAGGATGGCCACACCCTTCTTTTCCTTCTCTCCCCTTGTCTGTCTTCTTTTCTGCCAACAGGCACACGAGGTATTTCGTGATATCTGATCTCCCGCCAGCCCGCTAGGGCCGTACCCTTCCCGGACGGAGGATTTTCTTACCTGTCAGATATCGAATGTGAGGGATGAAGAAGCACGCACCCTGCCACTTTGCGGGATGCCACCAATCACCACCCGCCTAGTGGCATGCATCCTGCCCGCGCATGGATTCGGTCGACTCTTTCTCGTGGATGATGGCGTTCGTGATATCATCTCACGCCCGCCTCACTTCTCGCCCGGTCAGATGACCAGGATGGGCGAGAGCGAGGTAAGACATCGTTGACGAAGCATCATACATGTAGGTAATGTCCTAAGCTAGACCCTAGGGCTTTGGGTTAGCCGGGGTGACAGAAAGAATAGTGGCAGTGATATCGCTTTTCTTCAGAATATCTCAAAAATTCCTTTCCCTTTCTCAAGTCTCACACAAGGAGTTGGAAAAAGGGGTCTGGAATGGTCCCGGAGCACATTCACCGTGCGCTCCCGTAACGACTTTCAAATGCAATTGATACCCCCAATCGCATCTACCGGGACCCTTTCCCTCATTCACCGAAGTTGCCTCGCTCCCTTGACCATTCTCGACAGGGACTTTGTCAATCAGCGGAAGAAGAAAAGAGAGCCTTGCAAATGCTACCATCAGTTGAGATGGGACTCAAAACCGTGGCAGGCTCGAGTTGACACCCAATCAGAGTTGATGATGGGTCAAAGGTATTAACCCTCAAGTCTTCCAGTTTACATGCAGTCCTCCGTCCCAACTCGACCGTTCTATTCAGCTTCGTCTCTTTGGTGAATCACAATACTCATTCACCGTTCTTATTAGAGAACCTATTTTGGAAAATAAAAAAAACGACTTTTTTTTGACTTCACAGGCCGAACTCTTCTAGGAGTAGGAATCTCAACCTTTTCGATAGACTGTATCCAATATTACTTACAATGGCCGTCGCAAGCGAGATCTCTCCCATCAGGGAACACTACATCAGCCAACTCACACCTTTCGACAAGTTCATTGCAAGCCTCGGCAAAACCGCTCGCCCGACAGACTTCCAGCTTGTGGATTTCGCCGACCTCGAAATTCTCGGGTCCCTCCCCGGCAAGACGGGAGCAAGGATCGTTACTAAGAAAGCCTCCGGCCTTACCCCACAGGGCACCTTCGTCTTCAAGGGGATGGACTTTGACCAGTACAAGCGAGACAGCAAAGACTTTAAGGAACACCAAGAAAAGACCCTTCTCCACGAGATCCGCACCTTGTGCACCCTACCGCCCCACCCGAACATCATGCCCTGCCCCAAGGTTCTCGTCGTCGTGCAGGACGGGGACAAGAAGTACCGCATCTGCGGCTTCCTCCAACCGGTCATGAGCAAAGACTCGGTGGACGAGCAGGTCATGCGCGCCAATAGAGCCGGACACCGTCTCCCACTAGGTCTCAAGGCCAAGTGGTGCTACCAGATGGCCCTCGCGATCCAGCATACCCACCAGGTCGCCGAGAGCTTCCACATGGACCTGAAACCCGGCAACATCCTCGTCGACGACTACAACGACCTCCGACTCATCGACTGGGAGCAGAGCGGGTTCTCCATGTTTACGCATCCACCCGAGGTAACCATCGACCAAGAGGCCGAAGAGTCGTCCGTTTCCACCGGCGCGAACGGTAAGCCGGTGGTCATTTATACCCCCCACACCGGCGCGCCGCGGAGAAATCAGAAGTGGGGATTTCCGGACTGGAACGTCCTTCCGGAGTGGAAGACGACGTGCCCCCGGGCCGCAGAGCTGGCGGAGGTGTTCAGTCTGGGCAGGACGATGTGGATGCTGCTCGAGCAGGTTGAGCAATCCCCCGACCCTACGGTATGGACGGCGATGGCGATGGACGTCCCGAAGGAGTGGCAAGACATGGTCATGCGGTGTGTTGAGAGGGACCCTAACAACCGGCCTGAGTTGAACGAGGTGGTTGAATTTTGGCGCAAGCAATTGTGCTAGGGCTACGAGACTACGAATTTTGCATTTTGGGCATACTTACACAAAGCGGTGTAACATCAGGGACATGGAGTTTCTGGGGCAATCGCACGGCGGAGGACACATAGAGGGAACTCCTTCGGAATCCTACTACAGTAGTACTTGTTTTTTAAGCAACACATTCTCCTCATATCCTCAAATTTGACAACTTCTCTAAGCGTAAGAAGTCCATCATGACCATATCTTCGTCACCATAAGCGCAGACTGATGGCGAAGTTCGGCATAAAGTTTGAATTTGTGAAAGAGGCGACCCAAGAATAGAGACACTAAGGCAGAGAACCCCTGCTTGCTGCAGAATGTCGCAAGCGACTCTGCTTTTGTCCAAGGCGATTCCTTCAGGTGGAGCAACCCCATTTCCCTCGCCCTAGCCAGCCTCCCGTTTGTGACTGGACAAGGGACACTCGCAGTTCTGTTCCCTTCCAATGAGTTGTTGAGCCTACACATATAGGAACTTACAGAAAGAATCCGAGAGTTTTGAGAACTTACACTAAGCCAAAGGGGCGGTCTCAGAGTCTTGACTGACCTCCGCACACCACTACCCCAAGACTGCGGCCCCGATCCAGGCCCAACGCCGATGCCTTGCCAAGTTCTCCCATCCTGTAAAAAGGCGATGATCTTGTCCCGAAATTGTAACTCTGCCATCCCATCCCGCCCTGTGGATCAGCACCCTGCGTTCTAAACGTGTCTCAGGCGCCGGTGGGAGAGGAGGTCCACATTCATGTAACCCACATCGCATCTCATGTATCGGCCGAGAGATGTAAAAAAGCCACTGCCACGGCAAACCGTTCTTCCGGTCTTGAGTTGCAATGAGAGGCGTGTGAGGCTGTCGAATAATATCGGCAACCTTGTATGCATACCTTAAGAGATCCAATGCCGCGCGTTCATACCCTCAACAATCCTCCGCTAGTATGGATGAATCGTGAACGTGGCCGCCAAAAACCCACTCCGCGCCACAAGTGTTGAAGAACTGAATTAAAGTGCAACATGTTGATTACCCAGTGAGCCAAGTACACTCTTGCTGGGACGAAGATTCTTGAAAACTACGTCTTGGCACCGCGAAAGCCTGTCGAATCGCTACATGAACGGATGATCCCGCTCATCATCCTTGACTGCCGGCCAACCGACGGGCAAATTGTAACCCCCCCCTGATAGACGGCCACCTGCATAGATGAAGCTGATTAGCAACCGGAAGAAAACCTCCATAAGAGATACCGTTGGTAATTTAGTATGTGTAGTCCTTATTGCTTTATGAACTTTTCGTGCCGCGACCGCCTTGTATCTGGTTTTCCACTGCGACAGATCGTGAGGCGGACGGTGGGAATGCGGACGTCTCTAGCGCAAAGCCACCATAAAGTAGGTAGATACGGCAAAAGGTTAAGATCTCAAGACCCGTACCTGAGTCTCGGTATCGATTGAGCTGCGCCCGTAGAGAGAGGGATCGACACCATGCGATTCAACGAGGATGGTGCAGTCCTTAGCATCATAAGCATTTCATTAGCTAGCTTGCTTAGCAACGGTAACATCGCAACTTTCGCAACCACGTTAACTTTACGCTGCGAGCGATCGACACATTGATTCTGCATGTACACAGGATGGTGCAATATTGACCTAATCTGAGTTCTTGGAATCTTTGGGAGAGAAAGAGTATTCAACCTTACAAACGAGAAAATGGCTCTTGAGAGCAAAGTTTTGAAACAAGAGACATCAGAACCCATATGGACTTCTTACGAGATGGTCACGGGATTTGGCGGTGGTGGCTCCATGTCGCCACGAAAATGTAAGGGCACGACGAACGGCTTTTTCTGTCACACCCTAGACAGCCTTGACAGCTAAGGGGCACGTTAATGTATCAGGCGACTGAGACAGCAAAGTCAATTTTGGGATACGAAATGCAACTAAGCTACACCCTGACCAATTGTCTTCAATTTGGACGGTCTTGGGGTTGGAATGTGACACGAGCTAGACCACACGGGGATGGATTATCTATGCCGTATAGGGATTTAGGAGATATGGCCAGGTGGTTCGCGATATGACAACTGAGCTGAAGGCTCTGAGATCTGTTGGCACCTTTGGGTAGGGCAGATAAGCTGCCCAGTTGCAGTGCCACCATTTGAAATTTGAATGTTCCGACTAGGGATCTCTGGGTCTTTGGGTGTTGTAGCCGATTGTGATTCATCTTCAAAGGAGCTGACACGCTGAGTGAAGAATAGGACTGATGTTGCTCCTTCCCGCGACTAGACCTGTCGAGTCCTTACCGTGAACATCAGGCTAAAGTGCGAGGAAGAGAAACGTGGCAATTGGGCAATGGCACAACCAAATAACTCACTTGCAGAATCCATGAATCATCGGATTCGTTGGATTGGGTGTTAAGCGAGCTTTGGTCGTCATCTTTACATCTATTCATGTATCTACCTTGCCAGACCCAACCCTCCCATTTTGAGGTCTAAACCCGTACCTAGCGTAATTTTTGTTGCCCTTAATATAGCGTCCCAAAGATCTGGAAAAAGTGCAGTTTTTCTTGCGGACCAACTGCCTTATTGGTTGCCCAGAGTCTTTCCGAGCTCCTCACCGCGATCCGCTGCAGCCTTGACAGCCTTGTTGACAATCTCCTGGAAGCCGGATGCCTCGAAGCTCTGAAGCGCAGCATGTGTGGTACCATTGGGGCTGGTGACATTCTTGCGAAGCTGACTGGGCTCCTCGGGGGACTCGACGAGCATCTTGCCGGCACCGAGACAGGTCTGGGTGGCCAAGCGCTTCGCCTGCTCGGGGGAGAGGCCAAGGCCAACGGCGCTTGAAATGAGATGCTCGACCATGGCGAAGAAGTATGCAGGGCCAGATCCTATTGGCTTTTGTTAGATTTGTCCTCTTTCGCTGACGACTGATGCATTGCGTCCGGGCATGACTCACCTGATAAGCCTGTGACAACGTCAATTAGCTCCTCCTTGTTAACCCACTCCGTCGCCTTGCTGACGCTCGCCATGAGAGACTCGGTCAACTTCTTCTCGTCTTCGGTCACGTCGCTGCCCGCGAACAGACCAGATGCGCCCTCGCCCACCAGGGCAGGGGTGTTGGGCATGACACGCACGACGTGCGGGGACCGGCCGTCGTCGAGCGCCAGCCACTTCTGCAGGGCCTCGAGGGTGATACCAGCGGCGATTGAGACGACTACAGGGACCTTCTGCTGGCCCGAGACGGCCTTGCCGAGCTCGTTGCAGACGCCCTTTGCAACCTGGGGCTTCACGGCCAGGATGGCAATGTCGGCGCCGACAAAGGCCTCAGCGTTGGATGTGGTGGTCTTGACGCCGAGGGCGGCCATCTTTTCACGGTTTACATCCCAGGGCTCCGAGACGGTGACGTTTTGCTTGTCGATGCCCTTTGCGACCAGGCCTCCGATGATCGCTGCGGCCATGTTGCCGCCGCCTGTGAATACCCCGCGTCAGCCCCGCCATCGTGGGTGGTCTTTTGGTGTTGCATGGGACGTACCGATGAAGGCGATCTTGCTGGACTCCAAAGCAGGTGCCATGTTTGATGTTGTCTGGTTTCAATTGAGTTAATTGACGTTAGGGTATTCCGCAATACGACGAGATGAGCTACTGAGATATGTGTAGTGAACTTGAGGAAGTCGATGAGTTTGACTGGGGCCGGAAACTGTGGCGCCGCTATCGGACCCACTGTTTCTGGAAAGTGTGGCGTCTAAAAGCCGAACCAGTGAGTCAATTCCCGATCACCCGATTGTCCGAATGTACGGCCTCGATGGACACTTCTGTAACTTTTTCCATCGAGAAATGCTGAGTAACTGTCATAATTGTTTCATTTGAAACGGTGACCAATAAGCAGAAGTCTAATCACTACTGAAAATATTGAATTGTGGCAAAGGTGCTCATGGCCCAGATGTCACTCAACCATCAAGAGGGCGTGGAGTCGTTGAAAGAAACTTTCTCGGACAGATTCAACGACAAAATCCAAGGGAAGATAGATATTTGGAGTAAGAAAAACTGCTTGAACAATGAAGGCGTAATGGCTGAAATATACCCGACGCCTGTTTCCGAGTCGAATGCTTTGCTTTGAACCTTGACTTGTGAATTTGGGAAGGACTTCAAAAAGTTGACTAAGATTTACTGACTTTGACCATGTGCGTATTAAGCGCTCTCTACCAATATGTTTTTCCAAGTCTCGAAACACATAATGTTTATCCAAGTAAATCGTGCTGAACTCATCCTCCTGATCTTCCAGTGTAAGTCCGGTCGTGTCTCGCGTTCGAGGCTGTGACCCATCATGCCTTGGTCGACGTGATAGAGTTCGAGAATGCTCAAGAACTCAAGGTATGTCTCCAGTATCTTCCCTTTCTTTCTCATTAACACCCCCAGGAATAATCCACTCCCATTCCGGTGGGCTCATGCACTTTCTGCAATCCAACCCCGGGACGTTCTTGCATCCCCACCAGCGTCCGCGCTTTTCCGGTGGCCAAGCATCGCCATCGGTGCAACAGGGGTGACACTGCCGCTTCTGAATTTTGCTTATCGGCTCGAGATCCCGTTTTAGTGTAGGTTTCTGTGCGATGTTGAACTTGCCGTCTTCGTAACAGCTTATCGGAGCCTTGGCGCTGCAACAGTCGTTGATCTCGAGACAGTTTGGATCTGAGTTGCTGCGGAGAACATGGGTGGCTGTGATGGTGCATGTCGGACAGGCCTTTCGAATATTGTAGAGTGTCTGTCTAGAGATGCGCGCTGGTATCTTTGCGATTTGGTCTTCTGTGGGTGCTGGGGCAGCCATTACGCCGCTGAGAAGAGCAGCGGATAGGAGTGAATAGATCTTCATGCTGGAAGTGTGGGCAAAGATTAGGCTTTCGAGCTGAGGATAGCTTGAAAATTGGCAACGCAAGAAGGAGGAAAAGTTTTCATGACTCAAAGGCGATCACCGTCCCATTTTGTAGTCTTCCATAAAACCTTTGTAGACATGGTAAAAAGGGTCCTCTGGAGCGGCTCATGTTAGACGTCTTGCTTGCTGTCATAATAGACTTTGACTGCATCACAGGCCATGAAACATTTGACTCTCGACGTTTCTCGCGGGAACTGAAACCTCGTGCTTGCGGCTGGCTACCTTGATGTGTCACTGAAAATGAGCCTGGACCTTTAGGGTTATCGCAGTCACTCCAGGACCATACAGGTTGGCAAACCCGTGACTCAAACTATCCTATCAGTTATTCCTAACTACCTTGTTATCGAAGAAAGTAAAATCAGCTATTCCATCATTGTAGCATCATTCTAGGAGGTACTCTGGAGACTTCAAATCAACCCATCCCAAGTTGGGTTCCGACTGCTTCCAGCCAAGACGGTCACGCACGAGTTTTGAGTATGTCTTGACATCTTCAATCGGGTAGCTTAGATATGGAATCTCCTGCATTTCCGTGAGTAACCGTACTTTGTAGCAAAGGTTGAAGCCTACAGTCTCTTACCTCTTGGCGGTGAACGCCGCTGCACATGAACATGATGTGCACTGTTCGACATCCCTTCTCCAGGGAATACTGTCCAGCGCCATGGTACAAACTGCCCAACATCACAAATGCCTCGCCTCTCTTCAACTCCGCGTTTTCAACACCTTTTTGGCCATCTTCTCCAAAGTCAGGCTTTTCATCGCCCCACAGATGTGACCCGGGAACGATCCGGGTGGCACCGTTTGCTTCAAACGTATCGCATTCCGGAACGAATAGGCCAAGAAGCATATCGCGTTCGTTTGTGTAGTGACTAGCCTTGATGTGCCTCGCATGATGGTTTTTGTCGTCGCGATGCAGTTTCTGTGCTTTTGCTCCCGGCTGAGAGGACATTGTGATGGAGATCGAGAGCAAAGGGTCGGATTTGTGGATGGTGGGTTCATCTCCGTACCAAAGTTCGGTCTTAAGCCCAATGAAGTGATCGGCAATGTCCTGTGGAAGCCGGTCTTAGTCAATAATGGATTCATAAACACGATAAAGATGTTGTAAGCGCACCTGGTATAACGAGTCTGAGAAAAACTTCTCGCGAACAGTTTTGCTTCGACCAACGAGCCTCGTACAAGTCGCCGTCCCACCGTTCAGAGCACCAACGATACTTCCAGCTTGCGCAAGCGACGCATCGAGATACGGCTGCACTTCCTCATGCGCAGCATCAAGTGAAGCCTGGTTCGTGAAGTCTTTGATGACAGCGCACCCATCCTCTTCTATTGCGCTAATGAAGGCCTGCAACCCGGCTTCTCGATGAAGTCGTTGGACCATTTGAGAGACACTGATGATTATGATCGCGAGGAGCTAAACCTTTGGCAATTGCGCCACCCGAAGACTGGGATGAAATTCAGGAAGACAGAGAGTTCAACACTATTGATGGGTTGGGTAACGTTGATGATGGAGTATCTTGTGGGTTGAAGTTGTCTTAGCCTCCAGCTTCCCCTCGACTTGGCAGGCAGATAGGATGATCCCGGAAAAGATAACGCGACAGGCGGCGGGCGGAGATGAGGAGATGTAAGTGGAGACTGGCAAGGTGTCTCGCGCCATCTAAACCGCCCGGTATCCCGCCGGCGCATCATCTCGGCACCAAGGAACCGACGACTCTAGATCCTCAAAAGTGGACTAGATAGCTTGAATGTTCATGATAGACTCTGATGCAACATCAAATATTTCAAACCTACCAAAATGTAAGTAAACTATGTATTATACATGTAAGTTTGAAACTTCAGGAGGCGAGTTGAACGGTATGGCAAAGGGTTAATTCATCTTGTCTGTTAAAATCAAATACACTTAAGCTTCATTAATCGTTTTTTTGTATCTCGCAAATACTACATTAATATCATTGGCTTTGGTAAGGTACGCCCTTAAACCTTTGGAGCACAGGCTTGGCATATGTGCTTTCAGCCTGTTACCGCGGCACCGGTATTCAAACAAACGTGGTACCGTATCCACTTTCACCTCCGGGCAGGACATCGACCGATAGAGGAGCTTCATAGGGAGCTTCCGAGCTGCTAAACTCTCCCTCAAGAGCTGAGAATGGGATATCCCTCCAAGTCTGCTGGATCTTCCTTGCGCTGTCCAGGAACCGCGTCTTGACGTCCTCATAGTCAGGCACCACTAGCTTATGGTCTTTCTTGACAAATTTGCCGTCCACCAGGACGTGCTCGACATCGGCGACGCTAGCGTGTAGAATTACAGCAGCGACAGGGTCAACCCAGCCGAGGAGGGCGGGACTCTCGCCATTCCAGACAACCACGTCGGCTTTGGCGCCTTCGGTTATGACGCCCAGATCCGGGCGGCGAAGAGCAAGTCCCCCACTCCTTGTAGCGAGAATGAAGGCTTGGTTGACAGTCATCGGCGTGCTGGTAGGTACGCGCCAGTTTGCGAGGACTTGTTGATAGAGTAGGCGGCGGGTGCTCTGAAGCCATAGGCGGGCTTGCGTAAGGATATCGGTTGAGAAAGTGAAGTGAGTGTCGACACCGAGGGAGCCTTGATCTTGGATCAGATGGCTGTGAGGATGTGTGTGACCGTAATGCATCTCCGATTCTGGCGTGATTGAGATATACTGGTTGGTGGAACGGAGGAGTGATGCGCCCTTGTAGGTGAGGAATGACGCGTGCGAAAAGACGACCGGAATGCTGGTATTGAGTGCTCCGATAGCATGGACATCCTCTGGACTGTTGGTGTCTATGAAGTGGTCAATATGAGAACTGTACTATTACGTGGTTAGGGCCAAAAACTTACTTCCCCAAGGGCCCTGCAGACTATGCGTTGTAATCACTGAGACGTTGAACTCTCTGCCGCCTGTTAGAATGACTTTCACCGTCAACTTGCGTTAAACGACGTACTTAGCAAGATCGACAACTGCAGTAATATCCGCGAGAACACCGTCGGTCCCAAAAAAGTCGCACGCCACTCCCAAGGTGGTAGGAGTACCGTCAAACTCGGCTTTGGTCGCTATGCTTCTAAAGTTTTCCAGCTGCTCCGAGATGGTAAAGTTAGTGACGTTGTGAAAGGCGTACGACCAGAAGACTCTCGCGCCGCTGTCAATGCTGCCCTTCAACCCTGCCTCCGAAGTCTCATCAGACCAAGTGTGATGGGCGTGATCAAGCGTCGTCGTGACACCGGCATTGAGGGCCTCGTAGAGACCCGCGAGCTGGCCAATGTAGACATCGTCGGCACTCAAGAGGCCAGCGGCAGCGTACTCGCCGTAGCGCGTGAAGTACTCCGCGAGCGAAGTATTCGAGGCGATGGTCCTGAAAGCTGTTTGCCAACCGTGGCGGTGGGTGTCAACGAAGCCCGGTGTGATGATCTTGTTCGTGACATCGATGACTTCCGTGTCGTTGGATGATTGCGGCAAGGGCTGATCTGAAGTGTAGATGGAAGTGATGCGGTCGTCCGTAATGAGAAGAGAGCCGTTGCGGATGACGTTCAGGGAATTGCTTGACTCGTCGAAGCCAATGATCGTACCACCACGAAGAAGTACTGAAGACGCATCTGCGAGGGCGACAAACGCGGCGACGGCCGCTGCTAGGCTGATGGAAGGCATTTCTCAAGGTGTTAGCCAGTCGAGCGAGCTTGAGCCTGTTCGGCCACCTCAGGAACTTCTCCACGACAGCGCAGACGCGGGTTTTAAAGTAAGTAGAGGAAAATCGCGTTTATCTCGCTATCTCACGCCCACCATCATCGCAATTGAAGAGTTGAGCAAGAAAAGCCAAAACCAGGGAAAAGTCCGACTTGGCAATCTGAGAGGTGGAATCCATTGTGGACTTTTTGCTTTAAAGGAACGGGAAGCCGCGAAACTATGGGACCTTCGGATTAGTCTTCTCGTAGGTTCGGCCCACGATCATGGACTTCCGTAATGCCGTGCGCTCCTCCACTCAACCTAATGACGCCCGACTTTGGCTCGCGTGACGTGCTCAAGAATAGCTGACAATGCCGTCATGGAGTCTGAAATCTGGAGACTAGAGGGGAACCACTTATGCGTGGATCGCGCGCCCATGCTTTCCCAGCGGACGCTACTTCGACTGGGAATTGTGGATATATCTCAATTTCTAGTGTCGTGTTTCGGAGAGGTCGGAAGTTGTCATCGTGAAAGCCCCTTCCTTGACGGCTGCTTGGCTTAGGCTAGAATGAAGGTATCTTAGATGACCCCCACAGCTATCAGTGCTGACACAAAGACTCCTTATTTTTAAGCTTCTCGTTTTCGTCCGGATAATTAAACTGAATGTTCAACCGACGGGTTGACGACGGGATTTAGCCAGTAACTAATGGAACCGGACCCGCTTCGGCAGTTCGTGGGCTCCACTCCGGACCCCGGGTCGGGGCCTCTGCGAACGGGTCACTCCAGACTTAACCTTCACAATACCGGGACAGGGGCACATTAACCTGGTAACTCGTTGGGCGGCTTATTTGCACGTAGCTACGTTTTCTGCGCCTCCAAGGCCTCCTGAAGTGATTCAGATTTGGACTGCCCTCTACCGAAGGTCTAGGAGAAAAGCATGTGATTGCCAGCCGTGTCAAAACAGCGTAGTTCATAACGATCTTCTATCCCCAGTTCAAGTTAACATAGAGTCACAAGTTTCTTTTCAGATGCTCGTGTCCCTCTGTTTCTCTAGTTATAGCAGAGCGGACAAGAAGTGGGGTTTGAGTCATGGTGGAGCCCAATACCCAAGGGTTCGGCCAGAGGACATACGGATTTTCGGAATTATGCGGACATACCGCTTCTTGGACATCCAGATCTCACGGATCGTTCGTAATACTAAAAGCATTGGACACTCGTATTTTCTGGCATGATTTATGGAGATTCCTTCAAAGTCGTCCGAGGAATCAAAGTCGCGAGGCCGAGCCAGCTAAGGCGCCATCCTGCTTGCAAGTCATCCAGTCATGACGGAGTAGGAATACTACTTGCACATCGACATTGATAGAGAAATCTATCTGATTTCTTTGTAGATTTCACTTAAGGATAGACAGTTTCAAATCTAGTTGATTTCAGTGAGAAAATCGTAATGTAACCAATTCTCGCGAATGTACTCTTTAGAAGTTCAGGCACAAGAGCCTAGCAAAAGTTCAAGTTAGGTCGCCTCTACATGCCTGCGATATGATTCCGACGATCATGGCTATTTAATAGCACGCATACGGGTGCATTATCTCTCCTTCAGCTATCAATCCCCGTCGACACGAAATAGTGCCAACGACATAGCATCGGCCAAAACGGCGCGGCCCGGACGCTGACTCACGCTAAGCAATCTTCCCAACGGTATTTCACCACCCATAGATGGTGAGCGTGGCCGTGAAAATGACATACCATCTAGCTCATTGGGCACAGCTAGTGTCCGCTCCGAGGGGCCTGGTGACATGCCTCCTCGATTGGCGTTGCTTCTCCGTAATGTCGACTCTGAGCGGCTTGGTGCAGCGTTATCAGGCGTTGGCGATAGAAACTGTGTCGACGGCGAAACGGCTCTAGGCGGATGCAGGGCAGCACCACGCGGGGCCTCAAATCGTGATGTAGACTGTGGCCGTCCTCGATCTCCACGGGAGGGAGGACGCTTTTGCGAGTCTCGGCCGACCTCGTCTCGCAATAGCCCCCAGATACCCTGAAGCCATCTTTGCTTCTCTTCTGGCTTCATAGACCGGAGAGGGAGAACCTCGGCACCGCCCATTTCTCGTGTTGGCCACGGGAAGCTGACTGCCATCTCCCTTAGCGTTGCAGAGTCCATCTGTCGTAGTACTATCCGAAGTTGAGGCTCGACGTTAGCCACGGGGCCAAAGGCCCAGTCGCCTCTCTGTTCAAGTCGTTCCGCAATCTGAGCCATTGCACCCACAAGCCATTCGATTGCAACGTTGTCCGGGACCGTATTTGCCTTGCTGAGTAGCCAGCCCAAGGTCTCTGGTGTACCGGACTGATTAAGTATCGGGATACTGCGCTTGTCATGCTCGCGGTCCTGCAACTTCATGATGAAGTCATTGTACTGATTCATAGCGGTAAGAGGCAACCCAACGAATTTGCCCCCATTGAGCGCATGGACAATTTCGTCTCCTAGAGCGATGCCTGACTTAACACCACTATTGAGGCCGCGGCCTGGCCAAAAGTGAACTGTCATAGCAGCATCTCCTGCCACCGCAACGAGGGCATGTGGCCGATTGATCGCCCCCGAGTCACAAGGCGGCAGATACTGGATGCCTTCTCGTACAGCCTGGACAACAATTGGAATCCGGACGACATTGATGACCTCGCTTTCTTTGAAGCCGAAGAGCTTGAGGCCGTCAGAAATTGACCTCCATAATGAACTCTCTCTGTCTTCTGAAGGTGCAAAGACCTGGTTCTCTGTGAAGCCTTTCGGTATAGTCCCATCGGGGTTTCGGAGGCAGCCAGGATATCCAAAGGTGACTGGCTGGCCATCCTTGGCGAGCATCTTGTGCCACTCTTCCTCTGTGAGTTGCATGTTGAGGTATCCACGTCCATCGTAGTCACTAGCGTTCAGGAGATACCGAGTCTGACCCAGAGTCAAGAAGACGTTCAGGGGTTGCGACCATGGCAGACCGGCCGGCCGATCAAATGCGAGGCCCAGGGCATAACTTCGCCCACGTTCATTTTCATATCCGTGGAAATACGATTTGCGGACCCACGATGCAGCTCCGTCGGCTCCCAGAAGAACATGGAAGTCGCCAATCCTCACCATATCTTCATGCGTCACACCTTCCGCGTGGAGGTGAATGAGATCCTGAAATTCGGCGGCGTGACATCTCCGGAGAAGACGATCCTCGACTTTGCGAATCTGAATATTGGCTGAGCCCGGCCAGACTCGTTCTGGACGACCTTCAAACAATGCCTGCTGAGTTGCTTTACTCATCAACGTCGTGACCGACTCTTGTAGCGTGACAACCTGATCACGACGCCTGGCTGTCGAGGGGTAGTCGATATAAGGTCCCCTCGGCCCATCTTTGACGACCCACCGTCTTTCGTAGACGTGAACCTGAATTTTCCCAGCACCCTTCTCGGCGAGAGATATTGCTGATGCTAGCGCTGTTGGCCCACCGCCTACAATAGCAATCTTGAGACGACCGGAGGGATATTTGTAGACGATACCATCTGGTGGTGGAGGCTCAATGCTTCCTGCCATCGTTGGATCGAAGTAAAAATCCATAATAAGCTTCGTTTTGTCCGAAAATATGAACTCTGGGACCCTGGCTTTCAAGAGCATAAACCGTATGCATTGCAGAAGAGGCGTCGCCGCAAAGCTATCGTGGCGATTTCCAAAGATCCTCATCTGCACTGCAAGAGCTAGCGCCGGTATCGTCCGATTTTCGTAGTTCATGACGATTGATTGCAGCTCTTGGCTCGTAAATGGATCAGGATTCATCTTCGCAAACCGCATGAGGAAGATTCTGGCTCGTTCCAGCTCGGTTCGATCATCGCCGAACCCATCGCTGCCCCACGCCTCTTCGTAGAGTTTTGGAAAGATGATTTCTTCGTGGGAATACACCCTCACTTGGCTTGAGCTCCGTGGGCGGAAGCCCGCGGGAGACAAGCCTCCGGGCATGGTCGCAAGTTCAAAGGCGAGTACCTAGGACAGGAATTTTTGTGGCAGATTTGTGAGACACCTTTCGGGAATATTTCGAAGAACGGACGGATCGAAGGGATCAAATACTTAAGGGTCTGACAGAAGGCCCTTTCGAATAGGCTACTCTGGGTGCGGATAATAGGCTGCACCTGGAAATTTTGGCACGAGCCATTGTGGCCATCCTGATTACAGAATGGTGTGGCTACAGGCATTGGATAAGTGTATTGACGAAGGATTCCGCCTAGAACCAATTGAAAATAAACGCCGACTAAAATGTGAGTCAGATTTAAGGGCCAAGTCTTATTTAAAGAACGGTTTCTAGCAGTACGGGTGCACCGCAGTGAATATAGGGAACTGGCCCGAACTGGTAATTTTGCCAACCAATATCTCAGAAAATAAGAAGGTCTGGGAGAAAGCCTTATCCAAGATAGGCTATGGATCTATGATCTGTGGACCACCAATCTTCACGACTAGTTGCCTCTTCTCTATAGACCAAGAAACTTCGATTAGCCCAACCCACTGGATGGGGCATCTTAGCGCGTTTAGTCTGGGGTCCGGACTCCAGCCACACATCACGTTGGTCTCACGAGGACGCGAGATCAAGAAGTCACACGTTGAAATGTAATCAACGGTGTTCTGTCGTCACGATGCACGAGCTATAATGGATGTGTGTCCTGGGAGGCCGTAATGCCTGAACCGCCTGTGTATGGGATGATTGCAGGAAGAGTCCAAATTGTATGTACTTGATTATGGCATTAAAACTTATCTTAAAACCATTGACTCTGCAAAGGACATCTCTACTAATGTGAGTCAAATCCCTGCTTTTGCTCCCGTAAATCGGTGTTCGTACATATTGACAAGATCAATCTACTGATCATGGATATCAAAGACAGCAACTGTGCCTTCTCCAAGTTTAATCTACCCTCTGTGCAGCCAGTTCTCAACCTTGTGTTGCGGGCTCATTTTCTTCTTATGGGAATGCTTATGCCTGTTGTCATAAATTGTCTTCGCTTCTCCGGTTCTGGGATCCGGAACCATAACCTTGACATTGTTCTTGGTGTCCACGTCGATGATGGCGGGTATCAAAACACTGGAGCTCGCGGCTGGAAATGACTCTTCGTCGCTTGCATCGTGGGAAAAGTCAGATCCTGCTGTCGGCTGGTCTTCCCGCGGTGCTGAGTTCGACGGATAACGGAATGTGTATGTGAATGCAGTTGCTGGATTCGGGCTTGTCTTGATGGGTTGCTGATAGTAGGACATCCGTGGCAATGGTGGCATGTAGTTATAACTCCGATACGTTGGCGAGCGCGAAAAGTCCCACTCAATATCTCCTACCACATTGTCAGAAATAAGCAACATGACTTGGTGAAAGAGACTCAAAACAAACCTGTGGCGCTCATTCGGCTTCTGTAGTAGAATCCCCTACCCTCAGCATCGCGGACCCATGACGACCAAGGGCCAGGAGTTGGGGCCGCATAGTATTCTTCATAGGCTGCTCCTACATTGGAAGTATCTGCTGGCGAGTCTCGAGTCGGACTACTCTTCCGAGAGCCTTTGGTGGCATACTTTCGATGCGTCATGTTGTCGTCTAAGACTGGTCGATCTGATGGTGAAATACCTTACGCAAGGCTCTTAGGCGGTTTCTTCGCGGAAAGGAAGGCCTCGTCAAGAGGGGAACGGGTTCTTATAAGAGCCAAACATCAAACGCCCCCGAAATCATCCGGTCCTTGATGACTCAAGAGCACAAGAGCGCCCCTACATGACAGTCACAATGCGAAATGGAATAAAAAGCCGACTTGGCCAACGTGGAGGGTCAGATCAGGCAAGGCAACCTTGGGCTGGAACCGGGCAGTGAAACCACGCGTCTGGCTCGATCTAGTCTCGTCCATTGGCGAATCACCGCGCAAGGCAGTCAGATCTCAACAATTTAGGCATTGTTAATGGTTGAGCCACACTTTTTGCCAAATCAAAGGCGCTCTCAAGCCCAGCCGTCCAAGCAAAGCCGCTGCACCGCCTGCATCATGACATATGGCAACCTTTACAACAACTTGTGGCTCGATTCGGCGGTGGCTCACGAGACCGAGCTGCAGCCTGCTTCAGGCTTTCTTGAGATGTCATATGACAGGTCAGCGCGAGCTCCTGTCAGCGCTTTCGTCCGCATTGCTTACATATGAGAAGAGTTGGTGCCACAGCGAATCACATTAGCTTGACGTATTGGACGCGGGCGAACCATCGAGCCTGGCGGCCCAATGCGAAAGCCATTCTGCCTGATGCCACAAAACGGCTTCTGTCGCAGAATTTGGCTAACTTGAACCTGTGGGAGGCAGCCTGTGATACCAATTTCAAACTTATGGAATTCCAATGCGGGTCGGGCATTTCAGGCTGCGCCGCCCGCATCCGACGTTGTGCACGTGTTCATAGACTGAAGGATAGTAGATTCCAGTTTTTCAGGGAGACCGACTGACTTCTTCATCCAATCAAAGACCTCTTTCCGATGTTTGGAGTGGCAAGAATGCAGAGACTGTGCTCCAAGTCTAGTGGTGCTATTCTTCGGTCTTTTGGGCAAAGAGCCGGGGGCATTTTGGTGACAATGATCTAACTTAAGTAGATGCGTCAAATTCTGATGATAGTTGAGTGCTGGAGCTTGACATTGATGTCTTATACTTCGAGCAAGTCCTCACATTAGATCAGTCTTTACCTAAGTGCAATCCATAGAGTCGCGTACTAAAATCATTGCATGCAGCCTACTACGGTTCTGTGTCATGTGGTAATTACTTTGAGAAGCACCATAGGACTTAGATGGGTCGTCTAAACGTAGGCACTTGCATGTAGTTACTCCCGTATATCACATGTTTCCACAACTGGGATTCAAAAGAAATGTTTGCTGGTTTTTGTAGTGGGGTAGCAGTGTTAGTCTCAGACAGAGGAAATGGTAAAGCCTCAATCTAGCTATAATCGAGGTCGACACTTGGTCTTGCGCACTTCGAATCGCCGCCATCTTCGCTTAGACGCGGCTTCTCCTTTCCCAGGCTCGTGCCAGCGACCAATATGATCTTTTTGTTATTTATCATATGTGTCAACTCACCATTTTCAACTGAAATAGGTAAAATTACTCTATCACTATCTGCCACCTTGTCGATACCCCGCGCGTTTGGGTGGCCATCGCAATTGAATTCCGGCGCCCGACCTGCTCCGACTTGCCTTTATCGGATCTATAGGCCCCCTTATCAACATCCGGATGCTTGTGTCCGGCCCCCTCAGCCTAATAGCCACCAACCCCACCCCCATTCTCAGTAGCATTATCAAGCAACTCGTCAAAGCATCTTCCCCACCTCTGATACATACGGATTAGACTAATCCTTGGCCTAAAGTCATGCCTCCGAATTGCGGTCTTAAAGTAGCAGAGGTCATCAAACATGAAGGCGCGAGGGGAGACAGGATTAGAGATGCAGTACCCATAGTTTTCAGACTGTGATCCCAACCAAAGACTTCGTTGCAACAGTTGTTTGCGTCTTCTATAACAAGTACCCACAATTCATTGCATCTCAGCCTCAACGACATGTTGCGTTTCCTTGGATTCTCTTCGGCAAGTAACGACGCCAAGCCAGAGCCTTCACGAAGTCTTCCAGCTTCGTGGTACAGGTCTCCAGAACTGCATCAGCTCGAGAGAAGAGCAATTATATCAAGAAAGTGGATCCTGGTGACACATTCGCTACGCTTCAAACAAGCGGGCGAGTTTGTCTCCTTCGTCTACGCCGACTTCCCTTTCTTCCTCGTCCAAGACCGCGATGGCAATATCAACGGCTTTCACAATGTGTGCCGCCACCGAGCATATCCTGTCGTCGAGAAGAAGTCTGGCAAGGCGAGCATACTAAGCTGCAAGTACCACGGCTGGTCATACGGGTTCAAGGGCAATCTTGCCAAAGCGCCGAGATTCGATACGGTAACCGGCTTCGACAAGAGCCAAAATGGCCTTCTCCCAATCCACGTTCGCGTGGATCCCGCTGGCTTCATTTGGGTTAACCTCCAAGCAGGCGAACCAGACTTCAAGTGGGAAGACGAGTTTGGCGGTGTCTACCAGAAGCCGCGTATGCAAAACTTTGACTTTGCAGGAGGCTACAATTATGACCACGTCTGGGATATGGAGCTGGAGGCCAACTGGAAGGCCGTCATTGAGAATTACAACGAGTGCTACCATTGCCCAACATCACACCCCTTGATTGCGGGAGTGTCGGACTTGACGAAATATCAAGTAAAGCCAAGTGGAGGTTGCTTGGAGCACGAGATCATCAACAAGAAGGCTCAAGATGAGGAAGACGAGTTTCGACGCTCGATCACCTTTTTTTACCCCTCAACTTCAGTGACGATCACGTAAGTGACCTTATAACGAGTGTCAAGATTCAGAAGTCACAAAAGGGCAGAAACTGACGAAACCTGTAGTCAGAACTTTTTCTACATCCAGCGAATGATTCCAATCAGCGCAACCAAAACCCGAATCGAGAACGAGGTGTATCGCTCTCACGAATCCACCGATGCCGAGTTCGCCGCCATCAATGCGTTCTACAAGCAGGTGCTAGAGGAAGACCGAGAGTTGTGCATTGGCGCACAGGAAAACCTCAGTGCTGGCGTCTTCATTAGCGGCGAGCTTCATCCAGAAAAAGAGAGGGTACGGCAAGGAACTCTTGATGCCCTCCCAGCACTACAGTCCGATACTGACACATTCGCTCAGGGCCCGATTCATTTTCAAAACACGGTTCGAGAGGAGGTGATGAAGCACCGGCAAAGGGAGTTGGAGCAAGGAGGCCGAGAAATCTGGCCAGCCACGCCCAACCTACTCGGCCAGACGGGCACAGGGAAACTGAATGAAGACGAGGCTTTCTGCTCGGAACTCGAGAAAGCTAACTGTGGTGGCCGAGAGGAACTAGCCTGGTGAGCAATACGCTCTGTTGGTGCATGTGATGATGAATATCGGCACGGCCTGGCTGTACGGAATACGATGTATGATGGCATATGGAACTTTCAGCGTTGGTTTAGCCTCGTGACTTTCCTAGCATCTGGGTTTCTACCCTTTCAAACGAAATTGCAATCTAGTTCTCTACGACAGCATTCCTTTCCTCTGTCTAGGTTGGTGACTTGTTTGTGATGTAGCGCCGATGACTGAGCTACGGCGGCGAGAGCATTGGTGTGTGCGTAGGTCAGTCAGGTCTTGTTGCTGCTTCTAGAAAAGTACTGTAAACCCTGATCCCTCTCAAAATTGACTGGGACTTAGTCTCCAGCTTGCCAGCTTGGTTGCAGGTTCGTATGGGATTCTGGCCTGAAGTCCAGTCGCCACATGACTCTAGAAAGACTATCACCAAGAGTGGGGTTCCAAGCATGCACAGCATCGAAAATTGCGGTTACGATTCGCTGAACTTTACAGCCCTCACCGAACTCCCAATCCATCTTTAGTGCGACGTAGTTGCAAGCCCGGGTTGTATGGCGATCAATATGCTTCTACTATGACCTCTGATCCTGCAAAGGAACTCTTCGCATGAGTATGCATATGCAGGAGAATTTGTTGGGCCCTCGGAGGAGCTATCTTGGAGTAGATCTTATCTATCCGTAGCATGAGGGGAAAGTGGGTTTTCCGGCGGGGGAGAAATGGAGGCCGAGAACGGAACACCATCCGCGGCGAGTAATCTTCCTTAGTGTGACCAACGCTTATCAGTGAGTAAGGTGGTATCAATTTCGAGCTGTCGAACTTACTCTCGGGCGATGCCGTGAGATGGTGCGACCACACCAGATGCTATCATTGCACCCCACTCTTCAAGAGTCCAGTCTGGGCGAGCACGAGGAGCCGAGACGCGAAGGAAGAGGGGTGGATGACCTTAAGGCTCACATGAATTGAGTGAGCAGGGTTCCAGGCATCTCATGAAGCAACTTCAACTATATCAGCAAAGATCTATTACGACAAGATTGAGTGATGTTCTAAAGACATATGACACCGGCACCCATAAGCTTGCGATCAGCCAACATCATAGCATCAGATCAAGGTATTTTCAAAGACGATACCATCTTCCGTCTGGAAATACTCCAATAAGGCAACATGGCAGCGCTCGAAATTCCAATCATTGACTTCTCTGGTGAGTCTGCAAAGAACCTCGTGCTGCAGCAGCCGAAAAAGGTTAGCTTGGTCTTAACAGTGATATCCACCCTTAGGTTTCTACTCTGAAGACCCTCTTCAGAAACAAAAGGTCGTAGACCAAGTGCGTGACAGCTGCCTGTACAATGGCTTCTTCCAGATAGTTGGCCACTCCGTGCCTCTGGTGCAGCAGAAGGCTGCCATGAGCGGTGCCAAGAAGTTCTTTGCTATGCCTCTCGAAGAAAAGCAAAAGGTCGCTAAGGAGAACACGACATGGAACCGCGGCTACGAGATGTTGAGATCACAGATCCTTGAGGAGGGAACTCAACCAGAACTCAAGGAAGGCTTCTACATTGGTGCCGAGATCCCTGAGGACCACCCTTACTTCATCAACAAGAAGCTCAACAGTGGACCAAATCAGTGGCCCGAGGGTCTGGGTAGCGACTTGCAGAGCTTCAGGGATTCCTCAATGGAGTACTACTCTTCGGCTCTCAAACTTGCTTCGGATCTCATGCGGGTCATTGCACTATCATTGGACCTAGAGGAGACCTACTTTTCCAAGTTCATGGATGGAGCTGTAGCGACAATGAGACTTCTGCACTACCCGTCTCAACCCAAGGATGCGGACGAGAAGTTGACTCGCGGAATCGGTGCCCACACTGACTTCGGAGCCATTACCATGCTGCTTCAGGATGACGTCGACGGCCTGCAGGTATGGGACAAGAAGAACGAGACATGGATCGACGTAAGTGGAACCCCCACTCCCTACTGCAGAGCATCGCTCTTGATCACTTCATATTTCAATAATGCTAATCAGCCACTCTTAGGTCCCACCAACGGAAGGTGCCTTTGTTGTAAACTTGGGCAATCTCATGGCAAGATGGACCAACGAGTTGTACAAGAGCAACATCCACAGGGTCATCAACAAGTCTGGCCAGGAGCGCTACTCAATCCCCGTTTTCGTTTCTGGCAACCCAGACTACCTGGTTGAATGCATCCCCACTTGCAAGTCAGCGACGCAGCCAGCCAAATTTGGACCGGTCACGGTTGAGCAAGCAGTCTCTGCTTCGTATGCAGAGTCGTATGGAAGGGCACAACTGTACAAACAGGGTCTGGAGCAAGCCACGGCTAACAAGGTAAAGGCTCAGGAAGCTCAACCAGCGCAAATCGCTGTTGCGTGAAGCGTCACTATTAGAGGAGCATGTAAACAAATTTTCAAAAGCATGTAGAAAAGTGTGATTTAAAGAAATTTGAGATAAGGATCATTGATGGCAATGCTGAGATTTCACAGAGAAAACATTATGTCCAGTCCTGTTCCCCAAGTCTACGATACACCAAGTCTCTTGGCTAGCCAATGTGAAAAGGTCACGGATTTCTGATCAACAAGCCGCCAGTGAAGATCCCCGAGCACTATGATCGACAGCATGGCGATAACGAAAAGCGTGCTCCACGAAACGATCAAGCTGTACCCGGCTGCCAACATCTTGAGCTTCAGACCATAACTGAGGAAATTCTTACCGCAGCCCCAATGCACCAAGTAGAAACTGAAACTGACTTCTCCCAGGTACAGTACCGGCTTCGTATTGAGAACACGCTGTAAGACAGGCAGGTTCTCCAATACTAGTACCAGAGCTACGGCACATGTGCCTTGGAAGAATGGATGCACACCGAAGCCAAACGTGTTGAAGCCAGCAAACCACGAATAAATAGGGGCTTGGGTAGCGTCGCCATGCATCGGCCAGCAGCCCAAGAAGATAATGGGCACAAGCAGCAGCCATGATGTGACGGTGACGGCCGTACGGACCATTTTTGGTAAGTCTGGCAGCTTCGCCCGGAAAAGTCGGAAATCGGCGATGAACATTCCCGCGATAAACAGACAGTTCGTTGCTCTCTGAAGGTTGAAGGAGTAGATGAGAAGTAGGACAGTGGCTGGCAATCGCACCATAGGTGACATTCTAATGAAAGCCATACAAGCCAGGAACACAAGCAGCGATCCTTGGTACTCGGCTGCCAGAGTCCAGCCCTGGGGCATGACAGTATTGGCCGAGCCGGAGGTGATGATGGTTATCAACGTGGTCCAGACGTAGTATACATGGCTCCAGAAGCCATCGGCAACAGGCCCCATAGGTTCGGTGCTGTTGAGGGCATAAAATGCACTGAAAGGAACCAAAGCGGTAGAGACCGCGATGATAGGTATAGTCGGGAGGAAGAGTCGGAACGGACGCCGGAAGATGCTAGATGGAAAAGAGCTGATGGGGTTTGGGCCTTGTCCGCCTGGCGCGCTTTGGGCTGCGTAAGACTTGCTCAAGGGCCCATACGTGAGAGCAAAGCCGCTGATGACGAAGAAAACCGATACCATGAAGACTCCGCTATGTATGAGGCGGATGAACGGGAGCTGGACCACGTAGACACTTTCTTCGCTATCGCCCCATGCGCGGTGAATGAGCGGATACTGCGTGATATCATGGTCAGTCAAATTAATTCAAAGCAAAGCTTCAAACCGTTCAGATAGCAGATGAATGCAGACGCTTGCATCTGAACAAATGTCGTTGGGCGGGAAGAGTTCTTCATCACTTACATCTCCATCTATCGTGTGTTGAAGGGCCACGATAAGTGACGCGATGCCGCGAAGACCATTTAGATAGGATGTTTTGTTCGGAGCTGGGATTATCGAGTTCTCCGTGGCGTGGCCAAAAATGCGAGCGATGTAAGATGGCACCAGTACCCAGAAGAAGGCCTTTGGACTCATAGGGCGCCAGCTGGTCGAAAGTCTTGAAAAGGGCGATGACCTCCCTGATGATTCTGCCATCGGCAGGTCTGTCGATGAGCCCGCTTCATTGCCTTGAAGCAAGCCGTAATGCGATTCCCCAGCCCGGACTCCGGAAAACCAATCCCGTACCCTTTCAAGCGGCTGCTTGAGCATTGGATGGGCCGCCTCCGGATCCTCAAGCTTCATGTTCTCCATCTTCGCGATGTGGAAGATATGTCAACAAAAGTAGAGACTAATGGACCTTTTTGCGGACAAGTTCTTGATTGTGTCCAAGGTAATGCTGAATCGTGGGGAAAATACTGAGAATTAAAGACCCGAAAGGTGATGATAAGACTCGAAAGCGAGGCTTAAAGTATAAAGGTCACAAGAGTTTCCCGACTTAGACACGGGGCGCAGGGTGCACTTTCTGCATGCCACAATGTTTCACTTGAAGCTTCTCCAAATGCTAGGGATTTTTACTGCCCTGCGCCACTTGTCTGAGTTGGAAAACTGTCGAGGGCCTCACACTCAAAGTTTCTCAGCCGTTATACCTTTTTAGGTCATTCTTTCGTATCTTCTTGGAGCTTTGTCGTCGCTCAAGGGAGAAACCAATCTGGTCCGGTCCTCAGCCCCAATTACTGGGGAATGCCCTCATTGAGACCTGACCTGATCAATTGGAAATGCATATAATAAGGATACGCGCTTGTCAACTGTCGCATTCTCTGGATATTCTCAACATGTTCAGACGGAATGCATACTTTCCTTGGGCATGCCAAGACGGCGACTTTCCGAGTGTGAGAAATGTGCGAACCCGGTTAGTGAGACCACACCCGCGAGCACCACGAACACCATGTACCCGGTCAACTTTCCTACGACGGCAAATACAGACTTCCTGTCGTCTACCATTGGCTGATTGGGTTACACCGAAGTCGCGACAAAGCTACCGACGGTCACACCAAACGTGGTGAATTTCCTAGTGTTGTTGTCGCGTCGTACACGGTGCAGTCCTCGTCGGAGCGGAGAATGCAGAAGTCTTAAATGTCTTTCATGTGTCTGACTGGATTGACTGCCATTGATGCGGAAGCAGACATCTTTTCTCGCGTTCTTCTACTGATTTCGTTTGACAGCTTCACAGATGGAAGGGATATCCCTTCATGTTTTGGGTTGAGTTCGTGTCTGGTGCGTTTTAAGCGCAACGACAGCAACCCGTGTGGAACTCTCATACAGCAATGGCTGGCGTTCATGTGAGATTCCAGGGAAATCGTATTCCGAGGACAATGGAAGCTTCCCAAATATTTTAGGAGTCTATCAGAAACTGAAAACAGATTGCGCCTATTTATACTTGAACTCGGCCAGTGCACACATCAGTGGTCAATCTTGAGAGCAATTTTGGAGAAGTGCTTCTTCTCCTTCAATCGCGCATAAGCAGCTTTTGCCTCCGCGAGCTCAAAAATCTTGTCATCGATAACCGGTTTGACGTTCTTCTCCTCGATAAACTGGATCATATCTTGGAATTGTGCCCGACTTCCCAAGATCACACCCCTGACAATGCATGGGCGCATGAGAGCAGCCAGCATGGGCACAGCCTCGGCTTTGCCTCCGACCAAGCCTGCAGAGACAACCACACCATTTGTCTTCACCGCGGTGAGCGATTGAGACAGTGAGTCGTTGCCGGCAACATCGACAACAATGTCGAAGCCAGCCTGATTTGGAGTGAAGTTCCTCGTCTTGACACCCCAGTCCTCGGGGTTGTCTCGATAGCTAATAGTGTGGCTTGCGCCGAGTGCCTTCAGCCTCTCCTCCTTTTCTGCGGATGATGTCGTGGCGACGACGGTAGCTCCAGCAGCTACCGCCAATTGAAGCGCGGCAATGCTCACACCACCTGTTCCTTGAACAAGCACCCATGTACCGGATCGGGGCTCTCTACCTTTGAGGCCGAAGAGTGCGTTCCAGGCGGTGAGGCCGCTGCAAGTCAAAGTTGCAGCTTCCGGCCAACCAAGAGATATAGGGACATGAACAAGCCCGCTTTCTGTGAATCTGCCTTCTGATTGTAGAGTTCCATCAATAGTCTGGCCAAGACCCTCCACAATGTCTTGGTAAACCGGCAACTCATAATCCCCGCAACGCTCGGCATGTTTGGGAGCTAGGTGAGTGACGACATGGTCACCGGTCTTAAAGGCTGTTACGGCACTGCCAATCGCCTTGACAATGCCGGCACCATCAGAACCAGGCACGACGTGTTGTCGAATAACGCCGGCGGTAGCTGCCGTACCCTATTTGACTGTCAGAACATAGATGTCCGCAATGCTGAGATTCGCTTACTGTTGTGTCTGCGATTGCGAGTTCGCGATAGTTCAAGCTAGCACCGTGTAGCTCCACCAGAACCTCGTGAGCTGCCAACTTATCGGCCTGCGGCACGTTCTCCTCGTACTTGAGGCTTTTCTCAAAGCCTCTCTGGCCAGTCAAGATCCACCTGCGATTCATGGAGGGCTGGGGCTTTGATAGTAGTGAATAGGGAAGATACGGCTTCCGAGCTGTGATTCCTGCTTTCCTGGGCGGAAGATGTGTATGGATGCGAGATCTTTGCTGTACAAGTTGTGACAGTTAGTGAGTTCCTCACTAGCCCGTCATCTTGGCCCTGAGCGGTTTTAGCGGTTTTGCTAGCTGTGGGGGCCAACACAGAAGAGATCCAGCTTTTGCATAGTTGCGGCCTCATGGTCCCATATTCGCCCGTATTTTCGTCCGGGTTTCGTCCGCTTTGGTCCGTATGTCCGTGTCGAAACGTAAAATTGGGGCCGTGAAGCCGGTCCCGCGACTCGGGCGACTCGGGCCAACCCACACGACTCGCGTTGAAATATTAGCCGGTATGGTCAAAGCATCCTTAGCATCCTACGTCTACATAGGATATTTGACGCAGAGCGTCACTGACTTAAAGTCGAAATTTCGCGGTCATTTGCCCCGGTCTAATTTCCGTCCGAAAGTTCGGTCAAGGGGTTTGCGGCGGATCAGCAGGACGCCTTGCGTTCGTTGTAAACAAGTAAATGGCTGTATAGTTCATCTCCCGAACCTATTTCAAAGCCTTTCGATTCCAGACCAGCCTGGATGTGAATACAAACTCGATTAGCCTTTGGCCCCGCTCGCCTTCATAACATAGCTTGACAATGAGAGGTGATGGACTGTCTCCAAGGCTGATACCAAGATATTCCGAATTCATCCTAATGACGTTGTTTTACAAGTCCACACTACGATGATTCCCATATCAGCTCAATAGCATGTCCAGGAACTTTTGAGTTGAACCATTCGTCAACAATAATCCCATCCTTCATCAGCCCTGTTGTTCTAGCTCCATCCAGCACCCCAGATATACCTAGTGCCCTGACTGCCCAGAAGAGCTCACTTGAAGCAAGGTTCCGAGCAATACACTGCCGCGGTCCAAGTCCAAATGGGATGGCATCGCGTAGCATTTCCTCGCTAGGCTCAAGCCATCGTTCTGGCTGAAATTCATGCGGATTAGGGAAGACAGCATCGTTGAAATGCAGGCTAAATGGTGCGCATCCAATCCAGGTTCCGCCTGGGAACTCAAAAGTCACAGTTTCCCCAGAAGGCATCTTACTTGCGAATGTGAATCCGCTGGGCGGCACAACGCGTGGAAGACGAGTCGGATTTGCCATTGACATTCGAAGACCCTCGCGTACCACGCCACGTAAGTAGGGAAGAGTTTGCGGGTCGGCTTGCGATACCTCTGGCAATGCAAGCTCGACTTTGAGCTTCTGATAGATTGAGGGCGACTGTGCCAAATGCCAGCAAATAGCACCAAAATTCATGCCAGTGCTGTCTGTGCCGGCAAACATCAAATCCATACACTGAACAGCAGCTTCTTCTTCGCTGATGCCAGCTCGCAGTAAACGAGCCTGGTACGTTTGGTCTTTCTCCAGGTCGGCCTCGGCGACGACCTGATCGCAGAACTTTGTTACGAGTTCCATCGACTGGTCGACCTTCTGATCCGGGAACAACTTCGGGAGAGCCCACTCGAGGGCGTGAAAGATCCAACTAGGAAGCAAGAAGAATCTTCCAACTGCGACAAAGGTGTCCACGAACTCGCTGGCAGAGAGGCTGCTTGAGTCCCTGGTGCTTCTGCTTGCCTCCAGCTCCGCAATACCTCCGTATGTCTTGCCTAGGAGGTATTCCGTCACTGCATCAAGAGCTAGACATCTGCCCATATTGAGCATGTTGACGGGTTTGCCAGAAGCTGCTGCATTTTCGATATGCGCCATCAACCTATCGACGCAGGATCTCAGTATTTGGTCGCCTTCCTTTCGGATAGAGGCCGGGCTGAACATGCTGACAACAGCCTTTGATCTAAGGGCCCGGTGTGCAGGATCTAACGCCGAAAATATTGTCGGGTGACCGTCAAAGTCGAAATTGCTATAGCATGTTGTTTTCAGGAACCCGCCTTTCTCGGAGTAGATCGGTGCAAGAGCCGCGCCGTCGCTAATGTCAACGTCGTTGGGGCCGATTCGGACGACTGGACCATAGAATCGATGCAGAGCTTCGATCGAGGTCGTCTCATCCCCTATATATGAATGGTACCACAGCCATAATGGAGAGATTGTTGCTTTCCATGGTCCCGGAACTTTGCGTAGTGGGTGGAGGAAGATGTGGAAGAAGAAATAGATAGAAAGCGTAGCCAACGGAGCAACGAGTAAGATTTTGAGCGATTCTTTGGCGGCAATGGCCAACAGGTTGGCGAAAAGGCCCATTGCCTGGAAGTTGCGATCAAGTCTAGGAACCCGAATATTGATGACAAGTGGCGGCTTGAAAAGGGTTCAGACATGAGGATGACAATTAATTGTCAACTAAGTACGATGATTCGTTGCATTGATGAGTCAGACACAGACGTCATGAAAGTTGAAGAGACAATATGCAGGCCAACGGCACGTGACGCTACTAGAGATAAGCATGCAGCTGTAGTGATAGTGATGGAACTGCATTACAGACGTCTCAAAGAGGCAATAAATGTCTAAACACTACATCTGCGCCCAATTCGGTATCGTCTATGACTTCGTTATGATTTCGCATATTGTTCACGTGCAAGGTTGTAACTGAATGACTCAATTGTCATGGCACTGCTTACTGGGCAATGTAAATCACCCGAACTCGTAGAAAGAGGAACTTGTCTTTAGGTTCAAATTAAGCTGAGAAAAGTCTATCTACCACTTAGTCACGCCACCATCAACCAAGATATCGCTTCCCTGGCAGTATCTTTCCGAGTGTTAGCAACTTCAGTTGTAGATGAGTGTTCATCAAAGGTTCAACTTACTTGCTGGCATCGCTCGCTAAGAAAACACAGGCACCCTTGATATCGTCAGGCTCCGCTACCCTGCCGTTCATAATCTCGTCCTTCCACCCCTCAAGTAGATCAGGGAAGGGAGCCGTCATTTCTGTTCGCACATAGCCAGGTGAGATGGAGTTGACCCGGATCCCGTACTTGTTCAGCTCGGCAGCAATTGGAGCGACCATCGCTCGTACTGCTCCCTTTGTACCGCAATACGCAGTGGATCGTTGGGAGCGAATGGCCATGTACGATGCGATACTTGCAACAAAGATTATGCTTCCGCACTTAGTGCCGTTGGCAATCATTGCCTTCGCGGCCATCTTTGCTGAAAAGTAGAGGCCCTTGCAGTTGACCCCATACAGCCTGTCAAAGTCTGCCTCTTCAGTATCCAGAAACTCAACGTTCTTGTTCACACCGGCGCAAGCGACGAAGATGTCGAGCTTGCCATCAAAGTCGGCCGCCACAGCGGCAAAGGCCTTTTCCAAGCTGGAGATCGATGTTACATCGACGACATATGCTTTTGCTTTCACCCCGTTCGTAGAAGACAGTTCCTCAAAGGCAGATGGCTCCGGGTCTATCAGATCAAAAATGGCAACGTCTGCCCCAGCCTCGGCGAGACCTTGGGCGAATGCCAAGCCACAACCTCGGCCACCGCCAGTGACTACAGCAACCCGGCCTTTAAGCGAAAACTTCATTCATCAATATTGACTAGCTCGAGATGGTACTGAGTTTTTGACATACCTTGGACATTTCAATACTAACGGATGGCTTTACGGCTTATGCAAGTTTCAATAAGCAAAGAAGATTGGGGGTTTGTAAGGATTCCAGTAATGTTCCCAAAGTCGGAATAGGGCATCGGTGTGCGTGAGATGAGATCGCGTATCGATATTGACAACTAAACTTGCAACGAGCTTGGAACGTTCATGGCTTCAGTGCCTTTCTGGTGACACTATTAGCGAATTACTTAAGATGGCGGTTGTTCCCGTTCCACAACTATCACTGCACTGTTAGTTTGCCGAGTGTTCAACCCGATCGCAAATTCAACCCCCATTCTAGCGCCTAGCATCGGTGCAGGTACGTAAACGCTTGCAAGGCGTTGCCGCCGAACCCCATCCTACGCTTCAAATGTCGCTGCATTGTAACAACGCCAATCTTCACTCTCCATGAGTCAAATTATGCTCGCAATCTTGAGTTTCTTGGTCTTCTTTCTGGAGTATGCGGGGCTATCGAAAGCAGTCGGCCATCTCTCGCTTATCTTTGCTGCAAGATACGAAAAGCTGCTTGGGTCTAAAGAATGGGAACATTCAAAAGTGGAAAATGGGGAAGTCAAGGGTGGAAGTGGGGGCGGGGTCGGTCAGTAGAACAACGATAATGCAGAAGTGGAATGACCAACAGCCAAAGATGCTCAAGCAGTGTAACCAGGACAGGATCCAATTAAAGGATCAACTGTTGGGTGCATTCGTACGTCTAGAAGCTGCAGGACACACATTGAAGATCAAGAATGGGGAGACTTTACATGATGCCGCGTCGATAAGCGTAGATGCAGTTGAATCGACGGCGAACTGGCAAGTCATTGTGGAGACGTTTTCTGCCTGCGGGGAAGCCTCCACGAGCTTGAGCTTTGGTACCTCCGAGTTGGTCTGGATATCGAAGTAATGGCAGGTGGTGCTTCATGGGATAGCTGGAGTGATACAGACTAAGGAAGCTCTTAGCATAAAGTCTACCTTCAGGTACAGAGTGTTTCGGTTATACACAGAGACAAATTCACCACTTCCACTTAATCAATCATACCCCAAGACAATCTTTTATCAGTACTTACAATGGGAAAGAAGAAGGTTCTCGTTTGGTGAGTGGTCCCTCGAGCAAGACACGGTAGTGCTGTCACGTATGCATGCGTACTAACCTGGCCGTTACCGTAGCTACGGTGTAGATATCGACGCCGTTGCCGGCTGGCTTGGGTCATATGGTGGTGAAGACAGTACTAGTGACATCAGTCGAGGTTAGTTGCACTCATGGAGGGTCTTCGTCGTCAAGTCTCACCACCAGTTGGGGCTTACACCGCTGACCTTGTGACGCTTGAACAGGTCTATGGGCTGGAACCATTGGTACACGTCGACTCTTGAAGCTGTTTGAAAAGTACAACATCAAAGCGTCTTGGTTCATTCCTGGCCACTCCTTAGAGACGTTCCCAGAAGAATGCGCCATGGTGCGGGATGCAGGCCACGAGATCGGCCTGCACGGATACAGCCATGAGAACCCTGTCGACATGACGCTAGAGCAGCAGCGCGACGTTCTGGACAAAACGTGGAAGATGCTCACAGAGTTTTGCGGCAAGCCGCCCAAGGGCAGCGTTGCCCCGTGGTGGGAGACGAGCGAAGAAGGTACTGAGCTGATGCTGAGCTACGGTATCGAGTATGATCACTCCATGTCGCACCACGACTGCCAAGCATATTGGTTGAGGACTGGTGACAGCTGGACCAAGATTGATTATACCCAAAAGGCAGAGGAATGGATGAAGCCTTTGGTAAAGGGCAAAGAGACGGGGTTGGTCGAGATTCCCGGATCATGGTACATTGATGACCTTCCCCCGATGATGTTTATGAAGAACTCCGCAAACTCACACGGTTGGGTGAACCCGAGGTAAGTCTTTGAGTTACATCCATGTGCATTATGAGGGCACTGGCTGATCTTGCCCTCCAACAGGGATGTTGAAGACATCTGGCGAGACCATTTCGACTACTTTTACCGAGAATATGGTAAGTTGAGGGACCCCCCCCCCCTTCCTGTTTGACGAATAAGTCTTCGTGAACTGATCCTTGTTTTCGAAGATGAGTTCATTTTCCCAATGACCATCCATCCCGATGTTTCGGGTCGGCCCCACGTGCTACTCATGCACGAGCGGATCATTGAGCACATTAACAAGCACGAAGGCGTTGAGTGGGTGACCATGGGAGAGGTAAGTTCCACCCCCACTCTTTGATGTGTAAGAGTGTATGCTGATGCTCATGTGTCAATAGATGAGCGACTATTTCAAGTCCAAGAACCCTGCGCCTGAAGGTGGCTTGATGCCTGCCAGCCAGGAAGAGGTTATGAAGAAGTACGAAGAATGGAAGAAGACACAATCATAGATTGACGTAGCCTCATGAATACCAAGTTTTAAATATTGAATTATTACCGAACTGCTCCTTCGAGGATGATACGCAATGTGACAAGATTCCTAATGACCTTTGATTGGAAGCGTCGAGTCCACTTTGCTGGTGCCAGCGCACTGGTTTAACCACTATCCAAATTATTGACTCTTCAGATAGACTAGTTACCTGGCAGGTACCTGTTATAGCACAAGGAAGGCTCAGCTGAAACTAAAGCACAAATTATGGCGCCGATGTATGATTATTCGTTGCATGTGCCCATGGCGATGTTCTGTCGGTTAAACTAGCTACATGAGTCTAGAACATGTGCGCGCTGAGATTAAGATTCCCCTACTAAGTATCACTCTATTCAAACAAGCAGAATTTCTGAATCACGATCAACCTTGAAATTCCTACTTTGATATCAATATGCACTCTAGCTCTTGTGCTTGAGGATGCCATCGATGATCTTCCCAGCCGCAAGCACCATCTCCTCCTCCAGCTTGCGGCCAACAATCTGAAGTCCCACAGGCAAACTAAGAGAAGCCATTGTCTCCTTGTTATCCTCCCACAACTTCCTGTTCCATTCGTTCTCAACTCCCCTTGCTTCCTCCGCCCACGGCTGATCAATGTCTTCCCGACTCACCTGGCCTCCAGGAATGACTAGGGCAGGGTAATCGAGGAAATTCCACACCTTGGTGTATCCTACCCATCGACAACCCCCATGCGGTACAGCTGAATGAGGCATAGGTGGCAGCAGTAGGATATCAACCATGCGGCCAGTCTTGGGCGAGCGAATGGATTGCCACTTTTCCAGGTATGCTTGCTGCAAACTCCACTTGCGCCTGTTAAGCTGCCAGTAGTCGTACACTGAAATTGGCTTTCCGCGGTTGAGAAGCTTCTCGACGTGGGGGATGAAGGGCTCTCCACCAGCCAAGACGTCTTTCCGAATATCTTCGCCGCCGTCAACCGTGTAGAAAAGGTCCTTGTAAGGACAGTCAGTCACCGTCGCTCAAATACAGACTTATTTAACTTACCATCGTTCTGATGCAGTCTTCGTGCAAGCTTGCATTCCATTCCAAGACCTCGTGGCCCGCTGCCTGCAGGCGCTCTACAGCAGAACGGAGAACACGCGTTAATGGCGGGTGAGGTTGGACAAC